AATGTCACAGAAATGTCTATTATGTGAACGTTTTCTGACAAGATCAAACATAGGCCTACTTGTTTTCAGCACCCCGCCCCCTTTCAAGCAAAACCGTACCGTACCACGACAAGAGCACAATGGATACAAACGCAATGACGGAGAAATGTATTGCGTTATTTCGCAAAAGTATTGCGTTATTGCGTTATTTTGCAAAACCATTGCGTTATTTCGCAAAACTATTGCGTTATTTCGCAAAACCATTGCGTTATTTCTCAAAACTATTGCGTTATTTCGCTTTCAGCCGCATCACGCACCTTCACCAACGTCTCCAGCACTGTATCCATATTGGAGGACGCCGCTCCATATAATGTGTCATGCCTTGTTTACATACACTGAAATTTTGGTTTAATTCCATTGGTAAACAACAGAGTTATTTAGGATAAAAAGTATAGGAATTTTTTTTTTGGACACGTAGGCCCTATATCAATATTTATGGTATTCCTACCTTGTTTGGTATAATAAGTGCAGTTATCAAGCCCGGGCATAGCCGCACGTACATTCACTGGGACTAAGCTGGCATCCTCCAACACACACTGCCCGGTGGTCTTCCCGTAGCAAAACTGTCGACAAATATCCTTCTTCAGGCACTCGGCGGCGCAATGACGCCTGGATAGGCCGACCGAGGAGGCAAAAACACGCTGTGGTACTGTCTGGTACTTCCCGCGCTCAGCCAATGCGAATGTACACGGCGCCGCCTCCGGTGCTGAGCCGTTTGCTGGTAAGATCTCGCTAGAGTAGATCACAGCAATCAGACAAACTTGCAGTACTCTCATTTTTGAGACAAAGGATCACTTTTGTAGTAAGACTTTTCTTTTTCCGTCCAAAAAGTACTTTTAATGAGAAGTGTTTCAGATGGCCATTGATCTCTCATGCACGACTCTGACTCTATTTATGAACCATGCATTTTACTTATAATTATAATGTCAGGCAACAACATAGGCTACACTGCACTTCACCAAGTAAAGTATTTCCTATGCGCAACACACCCTAAAAATGAAAGTCGACGTACAGCCGTTGGTTGTCGTATACAAGCTAATGTAGATGTATTAACTTTTGACCTATAAAGCAAGATAAGTATGCATGATGCACGAGGAAATATTTAAGAAATTTATATCATGTCATGAACCAGCTGTCTAGGGGGCACCAAAGCCAAGGGATGCGCGTCTCTTCCGCTGTGGTCCATCTATCTTTCATGGTGGCTCATCTGTCTTTCAGAATCTGTGTCTCTGTCTCACTCGAGGGGGAAGCTCATTTTCCAAAGGGGGTTTTATATCTGTCCAGCCTCCACAATTGAGTCGCGGCCGCGAGTTATTGAGTTGCAGCCGCGAGTTCATCACACCGAAAGAGAGAAATTCCCAAGGGTGGGTTCAGAAAACTGTTTTTGGCGGGGGAGGGTCCCCAAAAAGTGGGTCAAAAATTTACGACGTGGGGTTCGGGATTCTAAATGTTCTGTGATGCGATCTGAGGCAATTTCTGACCACTTTAACCATTTTTTTTCAGGAAATGATAGTGGTATACGCAGTGGTTGCCTTTTCTGCGACGCCACTTAAAATAAAAGAAATTGGGTTGGTGTTTATTTGGGGGGGGGGGAGGCACATGGCCCCCTTGGTGTCCCCCCCCCCCCCCCCCCCCCCCCGCCGTTGTAAACACCCCGTGAAAATGAACTTGCCCTCTCGGCAGAAAGAGACATGCACCACCGCACCGCGCGAAGGACAAACGCCGCATCGCTGTGAAAGACAAATACGTACCTAGCACTAAACTCAATAGCATGAGGAAATCCATTAGTCTTTAGATGTTTACCTAGATTTATAGCGATTTGTGATAAATACCACGTGCACGTGACCGTAACATTTAATACTGCACAAAATTATTTTGCCTCTATTTACAAACTTTTCATAAACATCTTTCCGAATTGTTACAAACAATTTTCGTAAAGTATAAAATCAATTTTGTTTGCTTTTTTGGAAAAGTGTAATTTGGTAGTTTTATTTGGTGGGAAACGTATAGGGCCTTATTTGTGGTCAAGTTTCCGGGTACAAACCGAACGACCACCAAGTGACATGTAGAAGCTCCGGCCAGAGTTTAAAAATATAGAAACGGATTGTACACCTTCATGCCTTGTATGTTAAATGTGAGGTGTATACAAAATTCAGACATATTGCAGCTACATTTACATTGATGCTGCACATTAAGGCATGGGCTATATTGAGGTACAAAGTTTGAGCTACAGTTATGTCAGGGGTTATATTTAGGTCCGTGGGTCTTTTTAAGTCTTCATACAAGCAAGCTCTCATCTCCCATTATGCATCTTAGCCTTCTCTCCTGGTTGAGTCTACTGCGTTTCTTTTTCCCTCAAATATTTGGTTTGATTATCTTTTTTTTTCTTTTCTTTTTGTGGCTCATACAGCCTTTTGCCATCTATTCATCGTATTGCCTCTGTCATCAGTATATGTTCCCTGTCTCGTGTCTGCTTACCATTGTAATGTTTTTGTTTGTCTGTTTGTTGGTTTTGTGTTTGTTTGTATGTCCTGTGTAGTTTCTTCGGCCGTTTTCCACAAGCTTCTGCTTATGAAAACAGCCCCATGCTCTATTTGCTTCTTTTTTCTTTTCTTTTTGCTGTTAATTTGATATTTACTGCTTTATTGTTTAACCCTTTTCTCTAAAGTTTGTATATATATGTTTTTTTCTCTCTTCATGAAGCACGGAAATAAATAGGAAGTTGAATTGAAATATGAAATTGAAAATTGAATTATGCACACTAACGGACAATTTGTGGTGCATTTTGGGGCGATACATACGTAAAATTAAAAAAAAAAAAAAGGACCCGTAAGGCCAAAAAAAAAAGTCTCCGGCTTCTGGTATGGAGCTTGCCCCAAAAGTGGTGCGGCGACGCGGCTTTTTTTTTTTTTTTACCTGGTTTTTTTTTTTTGGGGGGGGGGCTTCAAATGTCGGCTGATGACTGCAAATGGTGCCCGACTAAACTTAGTGCAAATATATGGGAGTCCAGAGAGGCCACATAAAGCTTATTCTCGATCATAACCCCATCTAAAAACACGTTAAAATTGTGCAGCAGCAGGATTCCAGTCAAACCAGTGAGTTTGGCGGTTTTGAGACATCATCTTGTATTGAAAAAAAACCTTTTTCATTTTGCCGACGCGCATGGCTACGGCGACGCGCGCGCATACCAGAAACCGGAGACTTTTTTTTTTGGCCTAACGGCCAATGGCATAAAAAAGAGCACGGTTTCTTTTTTTTTTAAAGAGCACTTGTTCATAAAAATGGGGAATTGTTAACAAAAAAGGGCCACTCTTTACCAGTGGCGTAGCCACGGGGGGGGGGGGGGGGGGGGCGTGGGGGGCGACAGCCTCCCCCCCCATGAAACCTTGTCGCCCCCCCCCCCAGTCGGCCCCCCAACTGAGATTTTGAGTTTCTAAAAAATTATCATTGATCATGACGCCCCCCAGGAAATGTTCCAGCCCCCCAGCGCCCCCCCCCCCCCCCCCCCCCCCCCCCACTGAAAAATTCATGGCTACGCCACTGCTCTTTGCATATTGGGGGGGGGTAATCGCTGGTGAAAAAAATGAATTTGAATGAAAAAGGGAAGTCTTTACAAAATACTGGGGGATAACCCCCCCCCCAAACCCACACCACTCCCACTCCTGCCGGCTACGCCTATGAAATTGGAATCACGTTGGAATTTTTGTCAATTTTTGAGTCATAATCACGAGAGGGCGCTATACACGTTTATAGCTCCCAGACCCTCCGACACTTTAGGACTTTGAGGTGCAGGGTTGGGGCTAAATTTAGGCCAAAGCCCGGTTACATCATTTGTCTTAGGCTTATTCCTGGCAAAAATCAAGAGAAACACTAAAGGAATCATATAATAAAAAATTGGGTTGAAAGAATTTTAACAGTTTGAGTAAAATGTGGTTTTTTTTGCTGGTTTTTCTTCTACACGAAAACAAAGGAATGCCCACACTATGTAAAACAAACATGGGTGTGTTTGCACCTATAACGCACAAATGATACATCTGAATTATGTTTTATGTCTTTGTACCATTTTATGGCTGTTTAGTTTTTATTCATGTGTAATAATAACTTTTTTATAATTTAAAACGACTTCGATGTTATTGGGGCCAGATTAACAAGAGGAGAGTTTGCTAGGGGCGACTTGACTAAGGGGCGAGTTGGCTAGGGGACGAATTTACCGGGGCAACTTGACTATCGTGAGTTGTTAATTGGAGCCAAATGACAAGAGGAGAGTGTATTAGGGGCGAGTTGGCGCGGACGAGTATGTTGAAGTTACTTGGCTAGGGTGCGAGTTGGTCGGACGAGTTGGCTAGGAGGTGAGTTAATAAGGGCATTGACCAGGCCGGGTTGGAAGGAAATGGACGAGTTGGTCATTGGGCGAGTTGACCTGCACTCAAAGTCAGCTTCTTGCTGTCTTTGTTAAAGGGGCCAAGCAATGATTTTGTTTCTAGGAACATATTTTGTGCAACTTTCTACTCTTCTTAACTGTATTAAAACTATTCGACATCCCTTTTTGGTTAATTTTATTCAAAAGTGCAGTTCTTTGAACAGTTAAACATTTCCCATGATTTTCCGGACAATTGAGGGCGCTGTTGCAGTGGTTTTCTGTTCAAATTGTTATCCCAACATTTGCTTGTTGAAAACATTTGTGAGTAAGGGTTGTTCATTAGCTTACTGCCATGTACTAGCGCAACAACAAAATAATCATCAAAGAAAAGAAATTGATGACAGCAACTTATCCAAAATTCTAGCATTTTTTTTGTGCTGAACTAGCCGTAACACTGACGTTTTTTTCCGGCATTACATCACAGTTTTTTTCCCATGTGGAAATGTGGATTGAAAAAAAATCCAGAAAAGCCATCAAAATACCCTCAGAAATGGCAAAACAAGACTTGCAAAATAAGGTGAAAATTAATGGGACACAAAAGTGCATGTTCAAGGATAGTTTTATAAAAAATACATTGTATAGGTCCTTCTCAACAATTCTATAATGTTGCACACCAAGTATACTTTGAACACTTATTTTAATTTATACAAACGTGCCGACATAGTACTCTGGGAAAAAAAACAGTGCAGGGAGGACGTTAAAATGTATTCATATATCGCTCTATAAATAATTTACATAAGTCTGTAATGTACAGATAAAACAATTACCAACTTTTTGAACAGCCTCGTTCACGGACATAGCCACTTCCGACATAAAAGAGAAATGTAGTTGCTCAATGCTCCAATTGCTGTTAGTAATTAAATATACTTCTAGACAAAGGTGGTAGTGTTACTACTTCATAACCCCTCCCCCCCCCCCCCACCCAAGTCAAAACTAAAGTAAACAATAAATATTTCCTTTAAATGAAATGAACTTTAAATAGATATTAGACTCAAGGGCGGATACAAGGTTGAGGTGTAAGTGCATGGCTAACCAACCCGACTGTTGACTATACACAAGATGCCAAACAAATCCCATATGTCTTTCTTGAATAACGCCATAATTTACTACATGTATTGCAATCTTGACTTACTGCTCCACACCTCATCCATTCCCAACCCCACCCCCTTGCCAAATTGTTGGATTTCGACACCCCTGCCACCCCCTTTTGGGAAATCCTGGATCCGTTATTAAAACAAGTTACTGTAATGGACCATGCATATTCATGTAACCTTTGACCTATACCTCCCATGGTTACTTGATTACTGTACATGGTAGCGTGGAACATGACCTACAGAACTTTACCTAATACATCGCCTAGTCTTTTCATTATTCTATCTGTATTATCATATCACATTTACGACATTATTGGACATTTTCCCTCGTATTCATATACAGTACTCAATGAACTTTACCTTGGTGCAATTAAGGGAATAGATGTGTGTTTCGGAGGTATTAAACACTTTGTTTAAGACCGGTTGGAGTCTGGATGGGTGATAATAATACCCGAGGCGAACTGTATTAGGTATTTATGAATATTTTTAAAACCATCTATGGCGACCATTTTGAATTTCAAACAGGCCGCCATTCATGATTTTGTAGATATTTCGATGTATGTTTGCACCTAAAACATAAGGATATGAATTTGGGGTTTTGGGGTTTGTAATCGTTTCGGTTTGCTATATTGTATTGATTTGTTTTTTGCAAAATATCAATTTTTAAATTGTGCAACATTATGAAAGTCAATTTGAAAATGACAAAACTGACGGCCTTTCTTTATTGGCGTCAGTGGGTGTAATCTCTCAGATATACCGGCCATGGGTTGGTCACTGTCCTTTTGAACTGTGAAGGAAAGTACATTCGTTACGGTGAACCATGGAGTAAGTGTGTTCTTATTCCTCCATGGGTGATGTAAACTGAAAACTTGGAGGCCGTTGTCCGTCATTATATGAGTTCTGCAGGTCTCTAGTCTATCACCCAGCTGCCTTTCGTTAATCACCCAGCTTCTTGGCCTTTCGTTTTTGCCCGAAGCTCAAAGTAAACAAGCCCTGGAAAAAACTTATTTCGCCGTCACTCATTTGACTGTATTGCGTGATTCGGATCATTGGAGATGGGTGTGCCGACCGTCGTGCTTGTCGCCATCTCCAGCGACAGGTCTACCTCGTTGATGTGAGCGGATTGGACCGTTTCGTCCTCCCTGTAGCTCGCGGCAGGCTGGTCGACTTCACCCGGTGAGCAGCCGCAGATGAGCCCGCAACACCACACGCCCAGGTTGCACGCCCGCGTCCTTATCTGACTGTGGGTCGGTCCACTTGGCAGGTGATTATCATTTCCTTTGATTTCTTGACTTTCTTTCAGTTGCTTTTGAAGCTACATGAAGCGGAAAAAAGTTACGAGAGGTAATGTAACTATGATCCTACATATAACTCATTGATGGGGGACTTATTTTCGGGGTAAGGATAAGTCGTAGCTTCAATTCAAAGACTAGCTTCAAATAGATTTCCCTTTTCTCTGAATTTTGTTTGGGGGCTCAAGGGTTAGGACATAGGCCTCTAACTATAGGGAATCCCGTTGTCTTACGTCATTTGTCTTAATGTATAGTTTTCAATCTTGATTCTGCCTCATTTTTTTTGTTGAGGCCTATATTGCCTATAAAAACCACAACAGTTGAAAGACTAGAAAGTCATTACCTGTGCAACCTTTTCTTTCAGTGCGCGATTCTCCTGTATCATCTCTCTATTGTTGTTCATGCTGTCGTTGGAATTACGTGTCATGGTCCTAGTTGTTGATTCACGCATGGGGTCTTCCATAGGGTTTTTGCGTACGGCTAGAACCTGCACCATGCACAGAAAATACAATACAATTCAAATACAATTCGTAGAAATACCCCATAAAATATTTCCGATGACCAATTAACAACACTTTTATTACTAGAACAACAGGTTAATGTGAAAACATTCGTTCAAACCATTCCTGTTAAATACTGAAGAAAACGGTTATGGTCTGGTTAAACCAGACGAAATGTCAATAATTATAATCACTATTTTTGGAGACACAGTTTCGTAACAACTTTTAAATGTCAAGAACATGTAATTGAGCGGTATGATTTCCATGATAATTTTTAAAATTATTTCACTGCCTTCACCTTCGGTAGAAAAACAATAAGAATCGCCAGCGTGGTACAGAAGATGGTGATGCCCGAATTGAAGATGAAGAGAGTTTGTGGGTCTCGACCAAGGACCAAGTTGATAGCTAGACCCACGATGCATAGTATGACGACGTTATAGACGCTGATGCCGATCAGTTTGCTGTCATTCAGTGCTGGAATAGTCACCTGCAAACAAACAGCAATTGAAAGCTTGATAAAACAATAGGACGGAACTTTCCTTTGCAGACTCTTCAGAAGACGTAGTCAGCGTTGACGAGAGAACAGTCGAACTTGCACGTATCTGACTAAAAGACTGCAGCTACAAGTTTGAGTGTTTCAAGTTCTTAGCATCATATCCTGTCTTCCACACATTTCTAAGAAGTTGTTAAAAAGTAAACTTCTGTATGAGGTGTAATTCTGGACCATTCTGTAAAACGTTGGTAATTCTTAAACCCAGTGAGCAGTTATTGAGTTCTAGTGAGGAGTCCTGTGTAGGGAAGCACGCGAGGGCATGTCTGGACTGTGAGTGCCGCTCAAAGTAGTGAGACGGGGGGGAGGGGGTTGATTAGCCGCTTTAACCACCCCCCCCCCCCCAAAAAAACACACACACACACACACCCAGACACACACACACACACACAAATTAATTAATAAATAAAAAAGAAGCCCTTTCCAGCAGAAAGATAAAGATTACTTTATATTTCTAAACGAGGCATGTTATTCGCTTACTTGGTCAATTTAACTTTCGTTAATACTGTTCAGTAATATATACTCGTTACTCTTACTATGACTTAAAAACAGTAACAATGTCGGCATTTTTTAAAATCTTCGAGTGATTACACGTTGTCAGGCTTTGTTTATAGGAATGCAATAGAAACATATGTGCAGACCTGTCGTGTCTCCCAGGCCAAGAAGGCGCCAAAGATCAGCAGCAGTCCCTTGAAGGAACACACGCCAATCGTCCAGTACAGGTAGTATTCCCCAGTGCACATCGTAATGTACGGAACGAGTATCAGCGTGGCATTCTCTGTGTCTTGCTGTGAGGAAAACAAAATCGGAAGGAAGGAAATTCACTCAGAGAAGAATTTACCGAAAACAATGGATCACCAGGAGGATGAGACACTTCCCGGTTTCTTGATGAGAGCAAAATTCAAGACATGCAATTCGTTAGAGATACATCATGATGTGTGGCAGTCACACAGAGTGTGCCAAAAAAAGTCTAACATTCAGAAAACAAAAAATTAAAACTGATTAACTTTTTTTCCTTCATCCTCAATGAATTTATATATTACATTAAAGCCTGACTATTTCTCAATCCACTCTTTTTTACCCTATTCCATTTGGGTCCCTAGATCCAGAAATACAATCAATTAAGTGAAAGGCTGTAAATTTTACTTGGGCCACTCTCACCTGTGATGTCACCAACTTCAATGCCTATTCAATGCCTAGTGCTTAACCCAGCTCCAGCATATCCAGGTGAGAGTGGCCCAAGTAAAATTTACACCCTTTCACACAACTGATTGTATTTCTGGATCTAAAGACCCAAATGGAATAGGATAAAAAGGAGTGGATTGAGAAATAGTCAGGCTTTAATGTAATATATAGTTTCACTGAAGAAAAAAAAGTAAACAGTTATAAACATTTGTTTTCTGAATGCTGCACTTTTAAAAATTAAATATATGGCCACAAACACACAAACTGTGAGAAAATGTGCACAGTTACAAATTATTTTTGACGGGAAAAAGAAACCTTTTTTTCCTCCTGAAAATTGTTGACAGTGTGCTCTCGTGGTCATTTTTATCAAACCATTTATCATTGGCGTCACCGCCATCAAATAACTTTCATTTCTTATAACGCTGTTTTTTATAGTTATCTTTAAATTAGACAGGAGATTTCTAATGTCGCACTAAGGCCTAACATTTGGTAGTCCGAGTATCAGTCATTCAATGAAAACCGCGCACCGGTGAAGGGAGCGCAAACGTGTAGTCTCAAACACAGAAATCACCGCATTGTTTGTCAGGGTGAGATAATAGAAATGCGAATGTCCCAATTCGTTCGACGTCATGTTAGACACAACACCCTGAATGATAGCAACCTGCACCGCAGTGGTCAGGGAGCACACCCCACCCTCCACCCCGCTTGGGCCTCATGCCTCTCATACCTCCTCCCTTTCGCTAAGAACTTGCAGAAGAAGAAGGGTTTGTGTGCATTAAAACTATGATTAAATCTGCTTTAAAGGGACCTTTAAATGTATTTTTTTTTAAGCTATCCTTTGTGTCCCATTTTACCTCATTTTCAATTTTCGTTTTGCCATTTTCAGGGGTATTTTAGTGGGGTTTTTTTGTTTTTGTTTTTTTATGCTAATATGAATTTCCATATTCATGAGGAAAACTGTGATATCATTTCAGGCAAAAACCTCAATGTTACAAATAGTTTATGCACACAATTTGCCAGACATTTTGGATATTTCCCTGTCGTAAACTTTCTTTTCTTTGATGATTTTCGTTGTTGTGTCAGTACAGGCAGTAAGCCAATGAGCAAAAGCTTCTCCAAAATGTTTTCAATGAGCAAATTTGCGGGTGCACAATTTGAACAGAAAACCCCTCAAATGAACAGCGTCTTACTGACATGACATCACAGTAACAGCGCCCTCAGTTGTCCGGGAAAGCATGGACAATTTTAAATGGTGAAAGAATTGCACTTTTCAATAAAATGAACCAAAAAAGGGATGTCAATTAGTTTTCATATATTGAAAAGACATATAAAGTAGCACAAAATTATGTTCCTAATAATATTCACTTCACGGGCGTTTTGGTGTTTCCTGCTTATTGGGTGTTATATGACAGGCGGATCCAAAACACATTTTTCTTGGCTCTTGATTTAGTAAAGGATGACCCCTCGACCCATTGCCCTCCAGACCTTATCGATTTATCGAGCGGTGATATATAGTTCCTTGACCTTTACCTTTTCAGGAAGATATATTTTATCCACATGCCACGGGAAGATGAGTTGCCATGGTACCAGAATGACAACATCAATCAGGAGCAGAGCAGCTACCATCAGAATAAGCTGGCGATCCTGAACAACCTGTGAGACGCACGTGAAACACAGCAGGAAAAAAATTGGGAAACTTAAATTTAAGTATAGGTTTTCCCGGACAATTTCCTGAAATGTTCATTCACTTCTGAAAATCGGTCATTCATTTTCGTCTGAATTTGAGAATTGCTCTGAACACGCGTTTTTCATTTTCGCTACCAGAGCATTCGATTCCATTTCACTCAGTTCAATTAATTAAGTGATTGAGCAGCACCTTTCGCTTATGTCCATTCAGATTCGTTTACAAGACTTCCATTTTGCTTTTAGAGGGCGATTTCAAACATTCCCCATTCTATTTCACTTTTTGGTATCAGGTTTGGAATTCTGTGATGTAATCTGCTATTTTGAATGCGAAAAACGTGCTTTTGATTGCACATTTACGAAATTGTATTCCAGAACTCTGCGCGAAAAGGTATGCTTGCGTAAATGAATGCACAGGTAACGTAATTGGTCGTCTGTTTCTCATAACCGAATGCACGGACTATGAAAACGATTGAACTTTCGTTGAATTGAAATGGGATTAAAGACGTGCATTCAAATTCAGACGAAAACGAATGACCGATTTCCAGAAGTGAATGAACATTTCAGGAAATTGGCCGGGAAAACCTTTATTTTGGGATTTTGCTTTTACGTTAATGGTGCAAATATTTTCCTCCCATCCATTAAGCACCAAGGCTGACGGAAATATCCTTGAATGTGTTTCAATCAATTTAACAATGTAATAAATAATGAATAAAAAAACTGAATCCCTTAAAAAAACAAAAGAAAACAAGAATGACAAAGTTATGATAAAAACACCAAAGGCCCCTTTTTCAGGAAAGTGTAGACCTTCAAATTTAGGATTCGAAATGACAGACCAAATCACCTTTCTCTTGGGTGTTTTCCTCGCCACCACTTTGTGGACTCTCCAGGTTTTACTGAACATCGCTCCAAAGGCTAAAACAAACCCAACGACGAGAAACCACACTCTGATCTAGAGAGAAGAAAATAGAAAAGGGAGGCGACATTACACCAACGGATTGAGAATGAACATAACATTATAAATGAAAATAACGATGGATTTGTCATCACTTGGGTGTGTTTGTTTGTTTGCTTCCTATGGCATTGGCGTTTTGGCAAACATTTTTGGTATGCCTATATTGCGGTTGTAGCCTGCACATTTCTTATAACTTGAAGGTTATTTGAATACAATTCATGAAAAAAACACGTTTGTCACTGCAGTTGATATTCTGCAGTCTTTCATTAAATTTACGTTGCTTTACATGTTGTGTTGTGGATAGGGAAAACAGTGTCACAATGTCACGCGTAGTCACGCCAATTCTCTGGTCTATTTTGGTCCCTGTCTTCTCAAGTAAGCTACATCTTACCATGACGTACGTATTTCTAAGAATAACAGTGTCCGAACCGATACTGACAATTATAATTTCTATTCAGTATTCGTATTCATTTGGCTTTTCATAGCAAAACAAGAATGTCAGGCAATTCTTCAAATCTCAAAGCGAGAGATAAATTTAACTCAATAAATAAAGCAATCTCAGTGAAAGCATTTTCTTTTGAACTTTAAGAAAATTTATTTTCAACAAAAAAATACAGTTAATTGCGACACAATTTACAAGTTAAGCCTAGTTTCCATGTCGGTAAGAAACGCAGACAAGATCCAAACTACTACGCAGACATAATACAGTTTGTCCCCAAAAACTTTGAAAAATGTTAATTGTGCAGATACTCCTAAGCCTTGGCCTCAACCCCTTTGAGTTTCATATAATTTCAGTGACACATCACTGCACAATTGTCAATTTAGCACAACAGCATTTTTGGACACTGTGACCAAGTGCCATGCATCAATCAATGTCAGTGCCGTTTTCTGTATGCTGTGTACAATCCTACATGTGGAGAAAAAAGGGCAAACTTTGGGATTGGAATAATTTGCCCTTGAGCATTAAACTGATGTCTTGCCATGATGACTGATAGCCAGGAAAATGATTCCAAACCCAACTGCAACCCTTTTCACAACGTGAAGGATCTTACACATCTTACTTAACACAGTACTGATAATGAATAAGGCAAGGAACTTGGTCACAGTGTCGAAAAGTGTGATCAATTGACAATTGTGTAGTGATGCGTGACTGACATGAAATGAAACCCATAGGCTAGGGGTTTAGGCCAAGGCTTAGGTGTATTTGCACAACCCCCCGAACAAAATTCACAATTGACCTCATGGTTTTGTAGTAATTTCAAAAATAGTCAGACGGACACTTTTTGGGGACATACTGTTTACATAATGTGAATATTTCATCCGCACGCACGGACAACCCAGAAAGACACAAACTATCTCGCAGACGGTTCCGCGCACTGTCTGCGCAATCTGCATATTAACGTCGATATATGGAAACTAAGCTTTAGAGGGATGTTTCACAAAACGAGTGAAAAAAGTAAACTCAAGAAGGATCCTGATAATTTCAGGGTTTACCTTGAAAAGAATTGATTCAAATAGTTTTAAAGAAACTAACTTCATCTGAGACGATTTTGGATTCCAGTGACTTACAAAAGCAGATTAATAGACCTAAAACTTAATGACGTCACGCTTTGTTTACTAGTGCGCTTCCCTATGGGAGCCAGGTGGGGACGATTTGCTGGCCTCCCCACCTGTCTCCCATCGGAAAGCGCACATGTAAACTAAGCATGACGTCATTATGTCTTGGGTCTTTTTGCAGGGTTGAAGGCAAACACAAATATTCATTAATTTTTACATACATGGCAAAACAGCACCAGGTGCTTTTCGGCCACCAAATTCGTATCGATTCCATACAGGACAACCGATGCATAAACAATGACGGTGCCAATCAGGATGATGTTGTTGAGATTAGGGCTGGACATTCGGACAATCCTGGAAAACAAAACAAAAGCATGGGCATTCATCTGAAAATGCAATTCACATAATGGATAAAGGCGTATAGCTGGAGCGTCCAAATTTGAACAGAACTCCGAAGCAAGGCACGGTCAAATATATGAACAGCAAAATGTCTAAGGTCCTATAGAGTGCGTCACTCGATTACTTCCCCCAGCTTACTCGCGCCTGGCTCCTCGCGTGATGACAGACATGCGCAGTGGAGCTAAATAAACGAACGGGTTCGGGTAAAGTTTCGTGCAAGAGCTGGAAAGTTGAACTTTGACATGACACTGAGGCTGAATCAATTGTCTAGAGCTAGGTCTAGGTCCATGCCCGTTGAAAATACGCGGGGACGGGCTGACAATAGACGTAGCCGTAGCTCTGGAAGCCCGTTTCGGACTGATCATGAGGCGCCCGCCGGACCTCACGTTGGCAGCCATGTTTATTGGTTGGCCTTATGGGATACTTACCCAAGTAGCCGGCTCGGCGAGTCGGTTACTTGGGCCAGGCTCGAGTAAGCGCGAGAAGTCACGTGAGAGGTAAATCGAACGCTGTCGGGCTTGCACGAGTAAGCGCGGGGGAAGTAATCGAACGCACCCATAGACTCCCAACGTAAGCCCGATCCACAAGTCAGTCGGTTAATGAACCAGCCAGCTGAATCGGGGAGTGAACCAAACAGTGAACAAACCAGTCAACCAAGCTGTTTAACGCTCCATTCAATCAGCCTGTCAACCAGCTGTTTAACAAGCCAGTCACCAAGTATCTAGCTCGACTAGCTCGACAACAAGTATCAGTTTTAAGCAGTCAACCAGATACTTAAAGGTTGATTACGGCCTGAAATCCCAAAAAAATTCATGTTTTGGATTGTTTGCTTATGCGTTTTAAAAAGGTCTAGTTGAAAGGAAACTAACCTAATGTCATACCTTCCCGAGAAAAGACCCCCAAAACGGTTGTTTACATCGGACACGACGGAGTGTGCACACGTATTTCCTGTCGTTTTCATTCAATGCATGATACACGTTGTGCGTGCCACAGAAATTACACACAGCACCAATACACATATGTTGTTTCTTACATGTTCCTAAAAGGCGACCACTGTGCGGCTGGAATCACAACTAGCTTTGAACAGCTCGATTTTTCGGGACAAAATGTGACCCCTGAAATTCGTTCTCGCATAGTTCTCGCAGGAATAACACAAAAACGCACAGTTTTTAAATGATGGTTGTGTGGACGTTTATATTTTTCTTTTAAATGCTCTTTCCTTTTACGCGTTTTGTAGCTTAATATTGCAGGCCGTAATATCCCTTTAACCAACCACTGAACCAACCAATCAACCAGCGAATCAACCTTGGCCTTGGGGAAATCTCCAACTTGAAAAAAAAATACATCGTTATTAAATCGCTTCTTCAACTTACCTCAGGGCACGGTACCGGATATTAAAAGCAAGAAAGAATAGAGACAGAAGAATGCCAATGCCAGCCAAGGACGCGAGACTAACAAACACGATGAAATCGATACCAACATATTCCTCAACTCTGTCGATCCGAATGACCGGCGTTCTATCAGGCGGAACTTCCCCACCTGTCGATGAAGAAAGAAATAATTGTGAAAATTAATGATAAAAAAAAACAATTATACAATCCCACACTAACAGCATTGCCATGAACCACACACTTAGAGGTAATAGTCATAAACCTTTCAAAATATCACGAAATATTCTACTTGATTGTAAGCAAATAATATATTGTATACGAAATATTCTACTTGATTGTAAGCAAATAATACATTGTATAGAATCGTGCGTACTGTGAAATCTTTGCGCCTGAATGCTGCCCTTTCGAGAAACGAGGAATAATCATCATTTCCTCGCGAGATATCTATTTATCACATTTCTTCACCCAGGGTGTGCCCAAACAGTTTAAAACTGGTTTCCATAGGGGCCCTGCATACACTACAAACGACTACGCACATGTACAAATACAATACATGTACATTACAAATACAAAACACCACAATGAAATAAAATGAAAGCATATGGGATTACTGCTTGATCGTAAAGCAACTATTATAAATATTGTACAACATTACAAAGAAACATGTTCAATGGTTTGGACCAAACCATCACGCATTTAACAGAAACCTGTGCTTTGCATCGAAAAAAAAGATGCATTTTCAGCTTTCTCAAAAAGCATGATGTCTACTATGCTGAAATTTTGACAGTTTATTATTTCTTTTGATAACCTGCTTCAGATTGATTGTATTGCTCCTTAAACCACCATTAACACATTTTGTGTTTATTTTTGGCAAACGGTGTCCAACTTGGGGAAAAAGACATTTCTGTTGCAAGAAACAAAACGATTTCAAATGATATTAAATTTTTATAATGTGCTGATAAAAGATGCTGCCTTTGTTTTATTTAACGAAAAATGTATGCAACCATTTCGGAAAAGTCTTTTAGTTTGACTTGCTCTGGCAAACAAAAAGATCCCCTCATTGAGTTTAGTTCCCGATCTCAACATTATCCATTCTGATAGGGGGAGACCAGTCCACCCTGTATGAGCTGAATTATTGCCACAGACCGTAAATAATTCAGAACTTGTTAAGCAGTTACTGCATAGCCAAACTTGAGCAATTTGTTTCTTTCAATATCTCGATCAAAAGTGAATCACTTTTGTATTACTTTGAAATATTTTTGAAAATAGCAAACACAGTACATCTTGCAAATTATTTCTTTGAGAAATTTTGTGAAGAGTAAGATTTTATACCTGGCCATATGATTTCCGAAGTCATCCTCAGCACATCATTTGCCGTATCGTAAGTCCCAATATTCACCTCTGTATACTCTGTTAATAAAGGCAAAAGAACAAAGAATTTTGACAAATCCCATATAGATTGCAGAAAAGCCCCTTGGTTTATTCTCAGTCGAGATGGCGGGCCTTAAAAAACATAAGATGTAAAACTGCATGCGCTCCTATGAGAACAGGTAAAAACAAGTGATTTAACTTAAAGACGGTAAATCTCGTCTTTGCCTTTCAGGGTCAGCGGGAGCAACATTAAAGCCGGGCAGTGTCACAATTTACAAGTACAGGGTGAGGAAAAACACGAAACCCAAATGTCGGGACTATTGTTTTATTGAAGTTCTGCATGTAGCACTTTCAAAATCTAGTACATAAACGCCCAATTCATGAGCTTTATTTTAGTACAAGAATCATTCAAATCACTTACGTACTATTCAAGTTACGGAATTTTAAACGCAACCACCGTTTGAAGGTTCTGTTCACGGATCACCAAAAAGGTGTGTGTTTTTTCAGCAAAACGAAAACAATTCACACACATCCCTATGTGATTTGTTTTCGTTTTGCTGAAAGAACACTGTACTTTTTTGGCGATCCGTGGACAGACCTTAAAACGGTGGTTATGTTTAAAATTCCGTAACTTAAAAAGTACATAAGTGATTTGAATGATTCTTGTACTAAAAGAAAGCTTATGTTTGGACTTTAATATCCTAGATTTTGAAAATGCTACATGCAGAACTTCCCTAAAACAACGGTCCTAACATTTGGGTCTCGTGGGTTTTTTTTACTCACCCTGTATTATTAGGATCTTTCACTGCATGAAAACAGATCGGTTAATAAGGTAAATTTATCGATTTGTGGTTTTTTTTGGCAACTTTAATTTCAGTTACTTGTCAAGAAAATCAGTCAGGAGTTTGGCGTTTTTAAGAGTGCAGTCCAAGTGAACATTTTGCGCAAAGTATGGGCACGTTTCCTTCGTTCAGACTGTGACAGAACCATCCAACACAATCAGCATTTTACGCCAACTAATGCGCAATATACCGCGATAAAAAGCTTCAATTGCACAACTCAAATAGTTTAAAGGGCACCACTTAAATACAGAAAGATATAGTTTACTCTCTAAATTCCAAAGAGTGAAATTAGGGACTAGACGTTTTAGAGTAAAAATCACTCTCATGTTTTATTGATATAGGCCTAGTCTGAAAAAAAAAGAACCACTTCAGACGAAGCTCGAGTGAAAACACGATCTTTACGATTGGAGGAATTTCACTCTAAAACGTCTAGTCCCTAGTTTTCGACTGTGGGAGTGAATCTTCACTCGAATGGAGTGAATTTACACTTTTTGGAATTTAGAGAGTATGACATTTTCCTACGTTCGACTTTTTCAATCGTCTCTGAATCACATAAAACGCACACACAGCCCGCTTGGAAAAAAATCAAACAGATTAATGTTGGTCACGCTTTATTTGGAAGGTGGAATGGAGGGAAAACAAAGAATTGAAGATAAACAATATCATTAATCAATTATATACAATGCATAGAATTGCATTTTGTACGGGTCGTGTTGATCTACATCATGCATTGTCCAAATACAATTCATAAAAGCAACAAAGATATTTTTTCTTTGCTTCCTGGTGCTGATTGTATGATATATAAAGTAATTGCGTTTTTGTGCATAGTAATATATTTTTGGCTTAGTCATATTTTTTGGTATATTATTTTTAATGTATCGTATGTAACTATACCTAATTTTAATTGTACACTTGGAAATCAATTTCATGTCATTTTAGGCATGACAATAAAGAAATCTAATCTTAATCTGATCTCTTCAACTGTAGAAATATTAGGTAAAACTGAGAAACTGACCAGCTTCATCCTCGCATATGAATGGAAGTGGCAAGCAGCTGATCTGAGCGATAAGGCCAACATCACCTGCTATATCCAACGCTGAACAAGTTGCATTGGTGGAGTTGAAATCCATGTCGCCTACCGTGTCGATAAGCCTGCCATAAGATACAGTGAAGTATACAACTTAAGATTGGAATTTGAACAATTAATTCATAAGATGGACGGTGCGTCGGGGTGATGTAAATCAATATCACCGACGTACAAACACTGTATACTCAATGTGTTTTTTACCTCCCGAGTGAAAGTTGGAAAAAATCACTCGAATGGGACTCGAACCCACAACCTTTCACTCGGGAGGTAACACTGAGTATACAGTGATAATAAGCCGAAGAAGGGCAAAAACAAAATTTTGATTTACATCATCCCGACGCAAATTCCAATTCATGAATAGTTAATGCGGTACCCGATGCTATCAGATTCGAACCATGCCAACTTATCCAGCAAGCCCGGTTGTCAAGTGGTAAGACGTCTGCACTAGAAAGCAGGAGGTCGTGGGTTCAAGTCCCACCGGAGTGATTTAATTGAAAGAAAATTAATGAATTAATTAATTAATTGAACACTGGGCTAGTTCTAATATCAGGTAATTAAACTGTGCATAGGAGGCCTATTCATCCTGATTTCACTAAATTGTCATTCTTTAAATCGTTTAGCTGCAATAGTTCAAAAAGGGTCTGTATCACAGAAAATCCACAATAATATGTGATTATTTACGGAGAAATCATTGAAACTCACGTTAGTCTTCACCAGACGAGGCAGCCGTTTTGAGCCAAACTGTCAGCAAAAGACTGGCGCCGTATAAACTGCTTGTTTCAATGCACTGTCAGATACCACGAACCACGCCAACATTGTCGATTTTTGGAGATCAACATTTTGAATCACACAGAGCAAAATTCCTTCACGGTTATTACACGAAAACAGCAACTATTCAATGTACAGTTATGTGAACGTTCGTAATCTACTTTTCAACGATCTTTCCTTTTTTCATTTTGTGATAAACGTGGTTTTGAGCCCTACTGGGCGCATTCTCTCAAATGTGCCCCTTTAAGACTCCAACTAACCAATTATGAGAAGAAAAAAAATATTCATTTCTCTCCGGAATCTTGTTCTGAAATGTCTATGCCTGGCAAAACAATAGCTACGCTTGAGACAGAGGTGGTACATAACTACCCCTGTTGCCATTCACCACTTAAAATTTTGAGTGATCTGCAATTGTTCAGTACACGAAACAGAAACTAGTCCATCAGCCTTCTGTAAACAAAAATAACGCGATTCACATCTGTTCGTTTGTCTGTCTGTCGATTGGTTGGGCGTATACTATCTGTGTGAAATCTTGAGAGTGAATACCAGCGATAACTTGATCACTTATAGCGTATTGGGTCCTGGTGAAAAAAATTTAAAATAGTGATTTTAGACAGCAGTTCATGACAGCAGTATAAATGGTCCTAGGACCTAATGACGTATGGTCCTAAGACCTAATGACGTCAAGCTCTGTTTACATGTGCGCTTTCATATCGAGAGCCACGTCCCACCTGGCTCTCACGTAGGAAAGCGCACTTGTAAACAAAGCGTGACGTCATTAGGTCTTATGTCTTCAAGGTAGGCATCAACGTACCATTTGTTATTTTCTGTCGTATCGTTGACCTTTGCTTCCCGTAGTGCTTGAAACAGGAAGTCGATTTCGGTGTCATTGTCAACATCCACCGATGCCAGCTGGCTGTTGTCGTTGGCACGACAATATGCCACTGCATCCTCCCTGCTAGCCGGGTCGCCAACAAACATGTAACATCTACCTCTGTGCTCTATCCAATTGGGCCAGCAGCCGACTGGCAGTCGAGGAATGCAAAGCAAACAATCGAACGCAAAAGGTAAAATCAAAATGGAGGCAGGAACGGTTCTTGGTGGGGAAAAAGGGTGCTTTATTTTAAACACAAAGCCTTGGTAAATTTTCATTGCCACAGACAAGCCAAAAATGGCTTTAACCGTGACATATATTTTTGTTCACCTGGCATTCTTTTTTCGTTAAAAATAGCAAAGTCAAATAAGTCCTACCTTTCAACTGCTCTATCTTTGTGAATGAGATTCGGTCTGCACCTAGAAAGCTGACGGGACCCTGTCACGAGAAGAACACTGAATTCAATGTCAAACAACATGGGGTAGATATCAGAAACAGAGATGAAAAGACAGTGACAAAAAGGTCGGAGTCACCACTGCGAAGCTTTAAAGGTACTTTGACAAGTATCGCGACAATAGTTGTCGCATACACACGTTTAGTCCTGAAGTGCCGACTTGATTTGTTATACCGACATGGACACTGTTTATGTTCATCATGCAAAGGGCTTCTCTCACTCGGTGACGATTAAAAATATCAAGTAAAGTGCATTTTTCTTCGTTTACACCGAGTACTAGTATCGTTGGTAAAAAGGGAATAGTTGAGTGCTTGGCCGGTTTAAGACCAGTGCCCAATTCCATGGCTCTGCTAACCACAGAATTCCGCGCTTACGATCACCATAATTTTGTATGAAGCTCGGGAAGGGACAGGGTGGAAATGGTTTTTGTAATTTGCTAATTCGTGCCCACGAATTGCTGACTCGTTCCCACGAATTGCTAAATCGTTCGCACGAATTGCTTTTTCGTTCCCACGATTTTCTAATTCGTGGGAACGAATTGCTAACTCGTTGATCCGGGAACGCGTTAGTAATTCGTGGGAACGAGTTGGTAATTCGTGGGAACAAATTAGTAATTGTGCGAACGAAAAAGCAATTCGTGCGAACGAATTAGCATTCGTGCGAATGAATAAGCAATTCGTGGGAACGAATTAGTAATTCGTGAGAACGAAATAGCAATTCGTGGGAACGAGTTAGCAATTCGTGGGAACGAATTAGCATATTACAAAAAAAAAACATTTCCATACTGTCCCTTTCCGGGCCTCATAATTTTGTACTAACTGCGCTGGCAGAAATATTCTGCGCTAACCCTGTAAGCACATAATCCTTAGTTACGGAATGTACGCATGCGTAGAAGCCAAAATTCCTCGCTTACACGTGAAATACGCTTATCGTAAGCACGGAACTTTCTGCTTTAATAAGCAGGGATTTCTCGCTAAAGCAGAGCCGAGAAATTGGGCCCAGTTGGAGTCTGGATACCGATAATCACCCAAGCCGAAGGCATCCAGACCCCGGCCTTAAACGTAGTGTTTAATACCGGCCAAAATACATAGTTATTCATTCCCATTCAAAAATTATACATTTCCAACGATTTTGTTCGACAATTTAGCTCTAGCTGGATTATGGTATGTGTCGTAAAAAACTGCTTATATGGAGATTGGTGCGCGCCGCGCGTACTATGAGATGTGCCGCAGAACGCAGCTGTGCCGGTGTAGTGTGAATTTAGGACTATAAAATACTGACTCGATGGTATAGTATTGCGCATGCCTACCTGAAGATTGTGAACGTTCAACCATTGAACTCCATTGGAAATACTTTCTAATGAAGATCAATGCGTTCAACCAATAAAACTGTAAAAGGCACCAGATTTCATAGTAGTTCAAATTTCAGTTGACATGACACTGGAAAAGTGTTTAAGACCAGCCAGCCGGTCTTTATCAACTAATGGTATGTCTTCCTACGTGACAGCATGAAATATCTATTCTGAATTAACTTAATGTATACATTGTAATCAATGTTCGCTCACTGCGCTGTGCTGCCACCCAATTTGATGTAACAAGAAAGACGCAGGGAATCTAACGTTATGAAAATTCGGTCTGCTAAAGGCATACCGATGTGCCGTAGAAATTGATTCTGTCAAGTGAGTCGAAGAAGACCTGACTCATCTCCTTGTCATCGTAGGTGAAGTCCTCCAAACGCCGGGTGCTACCGTCTTCAAACGTCTTCGTCTTCAGAATCTAATGAGAAATTAATGAGTATCCAATGCATGATTTTGTGAAACAATTTCAACTTTAGTTCAAGAAAATTCAAACAATTAGTGCACGTTTTCGTCCCTGAGTATTCGATTTCGTCTCGTCTACGCCAAACAAATTCGTGTAATTGATATATATACGACGAATTCGATCTCTGAATGCTGCCATTCGGCAACAGCTTATAGACGAATTTGATCTGTAACGACGAATATTCTCAACCCGGTGACTAAAGAGGGTGAGCAAACTTTAAAATCGAATGGTGAATGATTAAATGGGTTTCGGTAAAAGCGTACGAAATCAGCCAGCATATTATCATATTTATGTATTCACACGTCATTAATCAGCGGGTATGTAGCCATATAACAACAAATGAAATGCATTGTACGTTAATGTTTTATTGATGTTCGTACTTGTTACGTGTTTTTTTAAACTGGTATCAATTCCGTTTTGACTGCTTTCAGCTCACAGTTGCACATAATTCAGTGGATGGAGTGAGGGTAGATATCGTCATTAGTTAACAAGAGTATCTGGAAGGTTATCCAAATTACTGTGTCTCTTCGCTTAAAGACACCTAAATCATCTTAAGATACTTCCAGGTCACTCTACCTTTGCCGCCCATTCAAGCCCCCTCTTCCCACTAAAAAGCAGCAAAAAAGCAGAGCTGGATTTAGGCCTACTATATATTTGTGTACAAACAAACGGCTGTTTCAGTAAAAAAAAAATTATGTCATATAGGACTGACATGATGTGCGCTAGAGTGATCAGTTCTGTAGATACGTCACTTCGTGACGTCACTTCAATTTTCATCCACAACACGTCCCGGTCTAGGTGGATACCAACTTTACACCCAATCGGACATGTTGTTCTGTAGATATAGGACTTCATAATATATACATTTAATGTGACGTCACATGTCACGCGATGACGTCATCGTGACGTCACTTAAATGTTCATCTTTAACACATCCCGATTTAAGTACAAACCAAGTTTCAACCCAATCAGACCTGTAGTTCTGTAGATATTGGCCTTTTAAAATGCCATTTTAATAGGACATCAAGGGGGGGGGGTTAATGACCAACAGGCAACATTGACTCACCTCGGCTGATTCATTCAGTGCTAGTGCGATGGCCCATGCCGCATCGTAACCGAAGCTGGCGATGCCGTTGTAGGTGTACCCACTATTTTCCGGTAAGGCCAGTCTCCTTCGTACCTCATTGTCGAATTCAAGCGGCGTCTTAGTAACAAACAATAATAATAAAGTGAAGGAACTACTTGCTTTTTGGGAGTGGCACCTTGAAAAATAGATTTTTCAAATTGAATTGATAATTTTCTAGCAGTACATTAGTTAAGAGCTTTCCAATGAGACATCGCAAGAAAAAACGGCCTATGATAAGTAATCAAATAATTATTTAATTTCCACATTTGAATTAAGACGCTCCTAATTCATTATGAATAGAGTGCGCAAATTTTGAACTGGAGCGCGCCATTTAAAACCAAGTTGTATTAAGGCCTGCAAAAATAAACAAGCAATATTTGTAATAGAACATTTCATTCCTTTAAATTTCGTTCGGAAAAGAAAAGCAAAATTTTGATAAAGCACGTATATACCAACTTTGACATTTTGAAACGATAAGCCAAGAACATTGCGTCCACGCAACGCCAAAAAAGAAAGGGAAAAAAATCAGGACCTTACAATTCCCCCTCTAATTTAGACCCCAAAGTTACGCCACTATACACAATATTTAACAACTTTTTCTTTTCTACAAATTCCGAGCAGAGGCCGCAGAAGAGAGCTTGGGTCTGGAGTCACAGACAGTACCCCTCGCCTCTTAGTTGCGTCACCAAACATAATTATTTCGTAATGTACATCGTTTATGATCGAGGGTAGTCATTGTATCAAAACACGAGTGCATAAGTTATGGATGAGTTTACCTCCCGTAATGGTCCCCACAATTTAATTGGGTCTGGGGTGTTCAAACATTATATGGACTTAAGGGATACCAAGAACACCGTACAGAGCAAAAATCGGGAACCGGCAAGTCGGTCATTAGAAATATCTTCACTCCTATATAGTTTGCGACTTCAATTGATATTATCATGTTGCGGCGATCTCGATTTTTTCCCATTCAAATTAACGTAACCAAAGCGAGGCTATTATAAGATGGATTTTTTTTGCGTCGGGGTGATATAAATCAAATTATAGGTTTGCCCTTCACCGACGTTTAAAAACTGTATACTCAGTGTGTTACCTCCCGAGTAAAAGTTGGAAAAAAATCACTCGGGTGGGACTCGAACCCACGACCTCCTGCTTTCTAGTGCAGATGTCTTAACACTCGATCACCGAGCTAACGGGATCGGTTGGCTGGTTCGAATCTGATGTACATAGCAGCGGGTACCGCATAAACTATTATACGATGGAATTTTGCGTCGGGGTGATGTAAATCAAATAATAGGTTTTTGCCCTTCAACGACTATTTTTGCAGCGAGGCTGGAAGAAAAAATAGTCTGGTTCCTTTTTGCACAAAAACTATTATCGTTCAAAATGATACTCAGATTTACCAAAAAGGCCCATAAAAAGGTCTACATTGGTGATATTCTATTATGTATACATCTGTGTTAGGAGGCCTTTGGGGTGTGCAAAGTACCAGTTCGTTAACACTCAAATCTGATATCTAGACATGGAAATTTGCACAGGCACGTAAATGGTAAACTGGTCACATCTTGGATAATGGTTTGTGTGAGTGTTTCTTCTAGTGATAACAGAAAACCATAGCAGTTAAGACTCAATCATGGGCGTCGCCAGGATTTTTTCTAGAGGGGGGCAAATTTTTTTTTTTGCCAAATAATGCTTGTATTTCTCAACACATTCTCGATTTATCAGTTTTAGAGAGGGGCAGGGACATTTGCCCCCCCCCCCCCCCCAACTCATTAAATTTACACCACTTTGTCTTCTCGCCTCTTTTTCTTTTTCTTTTTTCTTTTTTTTTCTTCCCTTTTTTTTTCTTCTTTTTTTTGCTTTTCCAGGGGGGGGGGGCAAGTGCCCCCCCTTGCCCCCCCCTCCCTACGCCCATGGACTCAATGAGTCATGTTGGCGTAGCGGTGCTTTCCTCGCCTTCCGCCGCTGTGACCCGGGTTCGAATCCTGCCTGGGCCAATATGTAAATCGGGTTTTCAGTCCCTACCTCGGATTCCGTGGGTTTTCTTCAGAATACTCTGGGGTTTTCCTCCCACCTCTAAAACTGTAATTTCTTCTCATTGTCTGCTCTCTACTAGTTTTTCGGGTTTTCAAGCTACAGTGCCAAAGGCGCTTTTGAGGAATCCTTGGTTTTATTACCAGAAAGAAAGAAATAAAAAAAGAAGTGATTCTTACAATTCCAGACACCGTCACTGCGTCATCGTCCCCAAACAAGACGGTCTCGAAGCCGATATAATACGAGCTTTCCACTGCGCTTTTGTACTCAGCCGTGGTACATTTCTTGACGGTAGGGTCGTCGAGTTTCCACCAATTGTAGCTTAACCAGCCTAAAAGAAACCAGACGTAGCCAGGGCCAGTCATACCCTGGCGGGCAGCCTGGTGCAAGACAAGGAAAAAGAAAACAATGATTATTATTATTATTATTCCGCTGTTTGCTAGAATCGGGCGGCAGATTTTGCTAACTGCGTCCACAAAAGGGCGACACACCTTATGTGGTTACGACCCTCAGGACAAGGAATGTTACCGTCGCAAACCATCTAGATCAATTCCTTGTGGTCCAATTAGTAAAAATATCGAATTTCGTGGAAAAAGGATAAGGTAAACTTGGGTTAGGTGGCAGTTTAGGTTTGTGCACAAGTCTATGGGAAAGTCGCGTTATTGTAGCAAAAAGAGTACGGTAATTATTATTATTATTATAAAGAAATTGTTTAAAGTGTGATTGCCAAATAAAGGGAGTAAACGCAGCTGTCTGCTTTAAGATCTTGGCTTATTTGTTGGTGTTCAGAACAATGATTTCAATTAGTCCTTTTCAGGTCGCCCATTTGCTTTTCTTTTTTTTCTTATCTCTTTGTCTAACTGCACTCAAGAATTATACCTTACAAAGTCTTACAGAAGCACTTGATTTGTTCATGCGCGAAAGAGCGCAATATTTCCCTACGTAATATACACACCTTATTCATAAGGAAGCCATTTGTAATCGTGTTCCCTGAATGTATTTTATGAATTGTCAACTGTTTAATGATATGGTGCCAGACTAGTTATGCGTTCTAAGCCTCACTTTCATTTTTTTTTTTTGAAAATGTGGCTTAAACCATTAGGGTATGTCTAATCACAAATTTGAAGTTATTCATCAGAGCAGACTGGCATTAATTTGTAATTTACCTTATTTCATTGCTATCAATTCTATTCGCAAGTTCCAAAATGAAGATTATACCGCGCTTTCAATTCAACATGGCCGACTCGTGAATTAAGGCTTAAGGTGGAGACGAGCGAAGCTCTAAAAGCCCACGTCGCACACTGCCTAAACTCCATCACTTCCCCAGTCTTCCATTAATATACCCGTGCGCGGGTGCCCGTTAACCCACTCGACCGTAGGCCTTTATCCTAAAAGTCAGTTGCGTACCAGAGGGGAAGGGGGAGGGGCACCTCCCCCCTCCCCCCCCCCCCGGCTGATTTTTTTAAAAGATATTTTTCAGTAACTATTTCCATAAATGGTTCGAGAGTTCTGACATGAAAAAAAAGAAAACAAAACCAATTTACAAAAATCGGTCAGTTTTAAAAAGCGCCCCCATTTGGAAGATGGGTACCACCCCCCCCCCCTCAAAAGTTGGATACCCCACTGCTAAAAATATACCTACCTCGCACATGACGCGTCGTGCCTTGCTCTCGTACATGTTGACTATAATGATGCGAGCATCCAGCGCCTAGTGGACAAAAGAATCCACCAACAATTTAAATTTATATCACCAGGTGATTCCTTGCCTACTAAGACACTAGGGAGGCAAGGTTAATTAGGTTCCTCCCACCACCGGTATAGCACTCTTAACAATGAAAGTCCTCATCTGCTCTTCATTGGATTCCATCAATTTAAATGGTTTCCCCTCCGTTTTTTAAAACTGGTCTTTTTCTATGATCAACATATACGTTTATGTCATGTCGTCAATACTGTACAAAATTAATGTCAGCTCTATTTTGTTCTGCCTGCAGGCTTTAGGTAGATAATTCATTCCACTTATCAAATACACATTGACCCTATACAAACTGTATCCAAGACTACGTGAATTATTTTTGATGTTATTTTCTATAGTGTCAAAAAAGAAAGAAAAACGCTGTATATGAGTTTCATCAACTGCAGTTCAATTGTCAGTTCAACGAACTCTGAAGATACTACAATATAATTATGCTTTAATCAACGAGAAAAATTATCAGTGGCACGATACCTTGATCATTAATGGATGAAGGGGAAAGAGACAATCAACCGCTTTAAGTACAAACACCCCGGCATGACACTGTGTTTAAATGCAATGCAGGGGGAAAGGCCTTCAGATCGTTTCGCTGATGCCATCAAAATAAGTCGTTAATTTATGGATCTTAATTAATGCTGATCACACGGATCTTGTGACCCCAACACCCGACCCTGCAGAACCTACGAGGTGATTCATCTTTTGGTGCAGGGCGGAGGTCGGTTGATATTTATGGGCATCACCAGGATTTTTTTCGATAGAAGGGGGGGGGGGGCAAAGCACATTCCCCCCCCCCCCAAAAAAAAAATCCTTGCACTTTCTACAGCATATTCTAAAATTTTCATTTTTCGAGGGTGGACGGGGGACATTTATCCATGCCCCTTCCATCCCCCACCCAATCCTGGCGACGCCCATGTTGATATTCCATGATCTGCATTTTGTATTGTATGCAATGTACGTGCTCTTAATTTAAAACACAGCCCATGCTTTTTTCTTTTCATTTGGACACGCAAAGAAAAAGAACAAATGTCCCCTCAGTCTTGAACCTATTGAAAAATCTCAATAGCCAATTTTTCTCGCAGGGTGGAGCACGCAGGGACATCAATCTTGAAATAGGCCACAAACTTTCATATTTCTTGCAAAAGCGTCTAATTTTGCATAGACTTATAATGACCTGCATGCACTGAAAAAAAATATATAAATGTTCATCACAAGTGATGGCAGCAGCGTCGCCAGACAATTTCCTGCTTATTTTGTTTCACAGTAAGTGTTGAGGATTCCTTTGCTGCATTTGTGTGAAATGATTTGACACTAAAGTTGCAAAACAACCAATTTGTAAGTTGTTATTACAAAACAATTAATTAATTTACATTAGGGCAATTCCTGAAAAAAAAACAAGATGGCCGCAACATGATAACGGTCTATATCTATGTTCCCCAAAATCCTTAGGGTTTGGGTTAGGATTAGGGTTAGGGTTGGGGAACATAGGTATTTGGGAACATAGGTATGCACCAGTTTCGACCAATGATCAAGAACTCGAATTATATCAAAGGATTGTGACACAGCACCGTAATTAGCAACGATTCACCTGATGTCATATTCATATCGAGATTCGCATGCATGCATGCATTATACGTGTATAGATCACTGGTGTGATGAGGCGGTTGTGAGGATGAACACACGTGAAGAACTGGGAATTGGTTACGCCCATCAGCGCTGACGTATGTATTGAGCAATGAGAACTATACTCTACGCATGTTCGGATTTTTATGACGCCATTACAGCATTTTAAGTGGCGCCACCGCCTGAGCCGTTTTTACGCATTATGAATCCCAGCATTCGTCCCAACAAGTTTACTGGAGCTTGCTGTAACATGTCCCTCCTATTGTGAAATCACGCAGGCATTACAAAGATGGCCTTTCTCAAAGACAGTGCAGGGCTTTTTTCTTATTTATTTACAATTGGGATGTAATCGTGCATTATTCCAAATAACAATTAAAAGCTGAATTTGTATTTACAGATAACAACATCGGAATGATCTGCTTAAAAATGAAACAAGCTATAGATAGCACATCAATTTTCCAGTCAAAACGCGTTACTCTGCAGTGGTAATTTTACAACAAAATGTTGTAAATTGACCAGATTCTGTCAAAAAGGGAAATTTACTTTAAAGTTGTAATTTCAACTTCAAAACTGCTGTAAAATCAATTATAACGTGGGTCTGTGAAAAGCTCTAAGAACAATTTCAGATATTTTTTGTATAGTGTGCCTGATTATAACTTTATCAAGTTAGTACTTTTTGTGTTTCAGAAAACATGTTTTTCTAATGAACTTTTTTTTACGCACAACCCTTGATTTTCGCTAAAGGTGCCCAATATTGTGTACCATGGAATACAAAGTATCATGCATTTACATAGATCTTCCAAGCGCGTGCCCAATTGGAGTACGGATTCAACATTTCTGAAACGAAGGATGCAGCTTTGGACTCACGATGTCCGCAACTTACCTTAAGGTTGGCAACCTGGTTGGTCGGGTCTTCGTCAAACGACTCCGAGGAAATCAAAGTGATGTTTTCTGCCTTAAGAAGATTGATCATATCATTGATGGCCTGAAGGTGGCAAGAGAAAAGGGTCGTGATGTGGTATGCATTTAACCTTTTAAGAAAGTTTTAACAATGAAATAAATAAAAATTGAAAGAGGAAATAAAACACTAAGTGGGTTTTTTTTAAGAGAAAATAGGAGGAAAAGTACAGAATCTAGCAGTGAGACATCAGTTCATCAGTTAGGCAAGCAAGCAATCGACGAATAAGATAAAAATGATGAAATCAAGTTACTTTCAGACCCTACCAATATCTAAATGCAGTAAATTACAATGTACAAATTACAATGTACAATGTAAAAAGCAGTAAATTACAATGTACTGAATCGTTCCAGAATATCTGTCAATCGTCACTGATGAAGTAAGCAATCAGACTGTATATCAAGACAACCAGATTAAATGGTCAACAAGATAAAATCATCCCATCTGGAGAAGAAATATGGACAATTTGGTTGCGAAACAATTATGCAAACCACCATCGTTCTTCACTGAAAAATGCATGGAGTTAATTCAAACATGAAGAAAGTCCCTTCATTTAACTGCTGTATACAATAGAACCAATGAATCAGGTCAACTCAGGCAAGCACGGCATTTTTTCTTAGCTATAGAATTTGCAAACAAAAGCCACTCAAAAACGACCATTTTAAGAACGCCCCAGTAAGAAAGAGAGAAATCTGAATGAAATGTATCGACGCGGCATAATACGCGGCATAATGGTAAAGTAGGGCAGATAGGAGCACGGATCCTACACAAAAAGATGAACTACTCTGTCAAACTCTGGTTTAGGTGGTTGATAACGGCCCGTACGGCTAGGAATACCATGAGTACTTGCGCCAACAAAGACCCAGACAGCTTAAGACAGCTTACGACCCAGACAGCGAATTTTTGTCAAGCCAGCTAATAATATTTTTGAAATATTCATGATCCTACATGTTTTGGCCTTTATTATTGAATTCTTAAATTGACTGTAAATTGATTGAAGTTATATAACTATGTTAACGCCGATCTTTAGCTTTAAAATGAACTATGAAATGTAGCATTTTGGGGTTCTTTTTTTCGGTTCGGGATCACATCTTCCGAAAGCTGTTTGATGAAAGCCTAATTAAAAACGAGATTTGGGTAAACGTTGTTCTCAGTGTGAATCTTATAAAAAATTAATGATAAATAAAATTATTTGTAAAAACATAGGACTATGAATAACCATAATAAAAATTCAAAAACCGAATTCCAACAAACACTTCTTTTCGTACACACACAAAATTTGAAGGAAAAAAATTCCACCAATTGGGAAAAGCGGGATTTTGTGTCAATAAAGACAAATGTAATGGGACAAAACTAAAAAAAAAAAAAAAAATCGAACAAAGGTGTCACATTGCCTGGAGGAACTTTTTTTGCGTACTTTTCCTTTTTATTTCTCCGGGGAAAAAAAGACAGCACCTTGGTTTCGATCCTACATTTGAAAAATCGTCCATGGCCTACTCTTTCCATTTCTCTTTGACAAATCAAACCTAGGTAGTTCAATGCGTGATGCACCTACCAGAGAAAAGAGATCTTGATTTTCGTGGATGGTGGCCACCCTCTGCCAACCGAACTCCTTGATGAGCCGTATCCGGGCCCGATTCAGCATGGCGTCCGGCATGTAGGTACGATAGAAGTACGGAAAGACCACCCGATTGGACAGCGCAGAGGAGCCAGCCGAGTACGACATCTGGAGGCAAAGAGTACAAAAACTGTACTTATTGAAAACCTTCATTGGCTTTAATTTAACACCAAGTGCACGCCATTGCTGTACCGGTCTTTGCGATTGCCTTCAAATTAAAGTCTATGTATATACCGGCGCATCATCAAATGAAAATTGTATCATATTATTTAGATTGTTCGCAGAATTTTAACTGGCCCGTCTTTTTTGTTGCAAGGCGCTATGTATAGAACATGCATCGGCGCCAGTGTGTCTGTTAGGTAGACTTCCCAGGGATCCTCCATGCTGAACAGAGTCAGTGTTTGCAAAGATACAATCACAAACGGTTTGGTTTAGGTTGTGCATCAATTAGCGAAAAGGCTTCAACCCAGCAATTTCTCCTAACATCATATGGGCCAATATACTTTCTCCCACGACTTTTCTGTGTGGACGAGGGAGGGGGGCAATGGAAAAATCACAAGCCTATTTTTATCGACGGGCGGATCTTGCATTTTGAATGGGAACTAAACCCACGGCCAACATAATTGCAATTGTTTATCAAGCAGACCTTCTCACTGTCCAGACACAGTGTTGGGAGTAGTAGTACCGTTGATTGAACACCAAGACATGTCGGTTGAAATGGATCATGAACATGACATATAACTGGGAATTTACCATAACTGTTCTAAGGCAAGTTGTTTAAATCAAAGGACCATTTTCTACCATGGTTGCGATACACAATTTGTGTGTGATAATTGATCTATACGTAAATCATTTTAAAATATTTTTAGTCGGTTTAGCGGGTGCGAATAACTTTATTTCCAAGTATGAAGGATGTAGTGGGCTTTTAATTTCTTGAAAGAACGGAGCATACATCGGTTTCAATTTAATTCGGAGAAGGGCAAAACTTATTGTGAACACGAATCATCTCTATCAGATGCTAGAAATGCCAATCAAAACTAAGAAAATAATGTATGTCAAAAGTACTGCTATAAAGGCTGGTTAATTCTAACCAGCAAAGTCACCTCTTATTCCGTTATCTTCGATAACAAATTGAATTTGCTGCGATAAATTCTCAATGGAAACCAATGAACCTTTATGCAATTTTGTAACCAAAATTAATTATTTTTTTACCGACGAGACAGACCAAAACCTTAAACAAATTTAATTTGATTGTGATGTCAGACACATCCTGTTTTTTTTTATTTCAGGGACAATGCTGTACATCATGGAGTCGAGAGATGCATGCCTATTATGGAAGTACACTCTTTTTTCATCACAGGTCGTTGCACGGTAGACAATCGAAGCTACGGCTGAGTCGCCGTTTAATTACATCACTTTAAGAATTATCACATTTTTGTTATTCCGCAAAACAATTATCGCTTGTGTGCCGCCGAGCCACCGAGCCCCTGAGCACAATAAGTAACGGAGTATAGCACGACCAAGAGAGGTTTTCATCGGCGGTAAGAACTCTTAAAGCACTCTTTTCTATAAAGCCATGGATGAAAGGAGATGGCAACAAAAAGGGGACCGACACCACTATAACAATAATGTCGACCTAGGTGAAAGTCCAAGCCTGCGCGGACCAATTTTATAACTGTCTTTCAGAACTTTCAAAATCGTATCTTTATTTGCATTTACTATTACTGAATGTTTTTTGAATCTCCTGAAAAAGGCCAAATAAGGATAACTTGCAGTTTGTATATTCACCAAACACTGTCTCTGTGTTTACTGTTAAGGCCAAAAAAAAAAAGTCTCCGGTTTCTGGTATGCGCGCGCGTCGCCGTAGCCATGCGCGTCGGCAAAATGAAAAAGTTTTTTTTTCAATACAAGATGATGTTTCAAAACCGCCAAACTCACTGGTTTGACTGGAATTCTGCTGCTGCACAATTTTAACGTGTTTTTAGATGGGGTCATGATCGAGAATAAGATTTATGTGGCCTCTCTGGACTCCCATATATTTGCACTAAGTTTAGTCGGGCACCATTTGCAGTCATCAGCCGACATTTGAAGCCAAAAAAAAATTTAAAAAACAGGTAAAAAAAAAAAAAAAAGCCGCGTCGCCGCACCACTTTTGGGGCAAGCTCCATACCAGAAACCGGAGACTTTTTTTTTTGGCCTAAAGCAGCCAGCATCCCGACGCGATAGTTCCTTTTATTTTTATGAAGAAATTATGTCCAATTATTCCATCTTGCGTTACGAAAGATAAACAATGATGGCCTTAGCAGCACGATAATATTTTGGAATCACAATGCCAGCTACGCTGTATATATTTTTTTCAAACCATGAGCAATATCAAAGTCTGTCTCCATTATTCGCTGAGGTAAGTGTTTGAAATTGAGGTTTCGTATATAGGCCTACATAAAGTGAATTTTCATCGTAAACGCATCGATGAGGTTTGACATTAGGATCGTGTCGTGAGAGATTCGAGCGAACATCTATCAGCTTCAGGCTAGTTACCAAGCTATGCACAAAACATTGACCCAATATATTGGGTTTAGGTTCACGTCAATTGGCCAATGTTGGGCCAATTATTCCAATATTGGGCTCATATTGGGCCCATATTGGATGAATATTTGCGGAGATCGCATGGCATGTATACCTGCATTGCCAAATAAGCCTAATATTGGCCCAACATTGGTTTAAGCGTACCGACTCCTCAAAACCGTTCTTTTGAGTATCGAGTATCGCCTCTGTAACTCTGTTACAATAGTCGCCATTTTATGACCTCGAGGTCCGTACAGCCGAGTCCGGTAATTGCATATAAATATCTGCAAAATCCTCTGTCAGCCACAATTTCTGCAAGAAGATTTATGGATACCAAAAAAATAAAACCGTTATTCACCTTTTTGTGGATTTTTTTTAAATATCGTTCAGTTTATCTCTCTTTTTTTACCTTATGTACATCGGCCGGTACATTTTTTAAGTAAAGGGCATTATAAACTCAGCAGAATCCTCATTCATGTGTGTGAACAACTCTATCTTTTTTCCTGTGGTAAAGCTTATGATAGTGAACTTGTGACAGTTAACAAGGTAATATTTAACCGGATGACTAGGACCAAAGATTTTGTTAGGCAATTACACGATGCTTCAAGTACAAGCGGTACAATCGGTATACATGTATACAACCTCGATAAATAGAAACCAAATGTATACGTGTACATCAAAAATGGAAAAGTTTATAACCACGGAAATACATAGGCCTACACAAAAAGACAGATCATGCAAGTTCTGTGAATCAAATTGCAATATTGCTTTTCTCCATCTATATTTGTTTGGCACCTGGGACCAAGTTGACTTGGGACCGAGTTAGCTCGGACCAAAATGGTTTCCCCGAAACTTCCTAACGCATACAAGTGCATGGTTGCCCGCTGTGTACAGTCACGCGCGCTAGTAATACCGCGCGATTATGGCCATCGTGACTAGCGTTGTGCATACCTGTATTCTCCGTTATTTTTAAGAATCATCGACCTGGAATAGAGTTTACATTAATTGAGAAAAGGTTTTGTCACGTTTGAGGGTCATATTCGATAGCTTTCGTGGCGCAAATTAAATTAATTCAGACCTAAAATACACAATACTACATGTTTTCTTTAGCGAGCGCGGTGCGATGCGGCGACCCCCACTCAATCCCGCAATGCGCTTCAGTAAACCTTGTGTGACATCATTAGTACGTAGGGTTATTGTCATAGGACTGTTAATTGGAAAATCATGCATGCACTTGATGCAGATTTCACTTTACAGATTCAGCCCCAACCCAGCACCAGTAGTGGCAATATTGGTCTAATCATGGCGAAACAGTGGGCCAATATTGGACGCCAATCCTTGCCAGAACTTGGCTAATATTGACCCAATGTTGCCCAATATTGGCCCCATGTATGTTTTGCTCATTGGCAAAAAGTGGTCCTATAGGCCAAAAAAAAAAGTCTCCGGTTTCTGGTATGCGCGCGCGTCGCCGTAGCTATGCGCGTCGGCAAAATGAAAAAGTTTTTTGTCAATACAAGATGATGTCTCAAAACCGCCAAACTCACTGGTTTGACTGGAATCCTGCTGCTGCACAATTTTAACGTGTTTTTAGATGGGGTTATGATCGAGAATAAGCTTTATGTGGCCTCTCTGGACTCCTATATATTTGCACTAAGTTTAGTCGGGCACCATTTGCAGTCATCAGCCGACATTTGAAGCCAAAAAAAAAAAAAAAAACAGGTAAAAAAAAAAAAAGCCGCGTCGCCGCACCACTTTTGGGGCAAGCTCCATACCAGAAACCGGAGACTTTTTTTTTTGGCCATATTGTCAGCAATGGCAATATTGGCAAAGCATTAGCTGATCATTGGTGACCAATGTTCAGCCAGTATTGCCCAATATTGGGCCACGAACGCTTTGCCCATTGGCACAAAAATTGGTCCTTTATGGCAACAATGGCAATTTGGGCATTAACAATGGCTGAACATTGACAATGGCCGATTTCGCCAATGTTCACAATAAAGGACCAATTGTGCGCCAAAAAGCAAAACCTAGGCCTACGTGGGACAATATTGGGTAACATTGACTGAACATTGAGGTTAGTGTGTTGGGTATTGGAGAGGTCGGTATTCTCATATTCTATTATATTGAGACTGAAGACATAACCTCATATCATGCATGTATATGAAGAGAGACAACGGGGTCTACCCGATGTTCCCCAATACCGATGTTCCCCGACATCCTTAGGATTAGGGTTTAGGGTTAACGTTGGTTGGGGAACATCGGTATTGGGGAACATAGGTATTGGAGAACAAAGGTATGCATCCGAGACAACACTATCAAAGCTTCTGAAATCATATATATATATAGCTATTACTCGCCTTTAATGAAATGTCTTCTTTATAGCCTGATGGGCCTTAACTATTAAAAGTCCCGAGTCATATTCGACCCGGCATCCGGGTCAGGTTTGACCTTTCACTCTTCTGAGTCAAAATGACAGTTTTATCTGTGTGTAGAGACAACATTTCCGAGCAAAATGGCCCGGAGAAGTCACTCAGAGAAGTGTCATTTTGATATACCAGTGTCAGATCAAATCTGAAATGGGTTCAGGTCGACTCTGTCCGGAGACCTTTCAGAGCACATGTATACTTCTCCATGCAGTACCGGTACGCTTCGCCTTGACACAGTGTCTTATTGTACATGTGTGGATATTTCGAATTAAGTTGACCTCTACGTCATATGTCATTAGGCAAACGACGCACTTTTCATTTTCTTACTTTGTTTAACAATGCAGTCGGTTGTCTTTGCATGCATCTCACAGTCCTTAGAGTGGTTCAATCAGTTTGATTCGACTATTGTATGGAATCGATGGTTCGGTCAGATAGCTGATGAGGAAAGTCATACTTACCGTGATGAGGTTCCAGTAGAATGACGTTTGGGCCACTGCCTGTGCCGTGGTGGAGCAGGCGGGCCCAATCAGCATCAACTTCTGTGGGGGCAGCCGAATCTGATCGAAGAAGAGTCTGGTTCCCAGACCGGCGTCACACTACCAACATAAAAAGGAAAAAAAATAATTCTTGAATTGGCCACTTAGTGTTGAATTGAAGAATCTGACAACTTTTCGTATTTCAAACCCGGCTCCTCTTTCGGCTTAGTCTGAGTGTCACCCGTTGTCCAAAGGAGCCCTCTCTGTCTCCGGTCCAACGTCTGATATACGTAAGCGTGCACATTATGCAACCCCACGCGCCAGCCAATCGGAGTCGACATGACTCTGGACTGTAAAGCTGTTGATTTGGTCAATTTGGATACCATGTTTTTGTACAACAACGGGCACAGAGATAGATCAGATAATGTGGCAAATATTACAAATAAGATATTCCGTTCTGATCTTGAATTAAAAGTTTCAGATAAAAGAATATAAATAAATCACTTTCGATTCGGCGAGCAAAAGTGGGAGCTAGGAGACACATAAAAGAGGGCCAAATAATAACTGTTGGATTGTACGTAGGGTAATATCAAATATTTCATGGCAAACTGAAAAGATGTCTCTTAATACATGTAAAGGCTGGTTCACATGGCGCGAAAGCAAACGCGAACACGAATTTCTGACGTTAGGTTAAGCTTTCAAAAGATAAAAAACATTTTATTTCTGGCGAATTTCGCAGCGAATTATTCCTTAAGTCAAATTCTCTTCGCATTCGTATTCGCGTCATGTATTAACCGGCCAGAGGTTAGCCCGTAAAACGAGAAGACACTCGATTTACAAACCTACAGGGTGGTCCAAAAACAGTTAACACTTTTTTCAGAGGTAGATTTTCTCAAAATTGAAGACATGTTGAAATTGTTTTAAGATATTCCTTAACTACAAGATCTTGGTGGTATATGGTGAAAGCGACGTTGAAAAAAGCTCAGAGTAAGAAATAGCGGTCATTTACAGACAAATGGTCAAAAATTAGTTTGTCCACAGCTATGGCAGTCATGTAGACCTAATTACAATTATTGCAGTTCTTTGTGCGTGCAGTGTTGACCATATCTCTTTAAGACTTGCGTGCGGACAAACTGGTTTCTGACCATCTGTCTTTGAACCATCACCATTTCTTAATTTAGGCTTTTTTTCAGAGCCGTTTTCACCAGATATAACACGAAGATGCTAGTTTAGGAATATTTTGAAACAATTTTTACGTCTCTCCCTAATTCCAAGAAATCTTGCGTCTGAAAACTTGTAAACGTTTTTTTTTTGGACCGCCCTGCATAAAAAGGAAGCGTACAAAGTGAACAGTCAAACAGCAATGTCGGTTCATACTTCAAGCGAATGCGAATTCGAAGAGCATTAAGATTACGATAGCAATGAACAAAATCATAACTATCCTCTTGGCTTTGGTTGCGTATTACAAATGCACTGTGTACATCTATTCAACACTATTTGTTTTCATAAGGACGGCCAATTGTTCATAATGACCGCCTCGGATTAATTAATGGGAAATTACATTATTCGGCTGGAGCATTAACTCATTTGCATTTCGGCTTTGGCTCAGCACTTTTTTGTGACCGGATCATGGAATATAAATCTTCTAGTAACATTTTATCAATTAGTGGTTTTTCATAATAGTGAAGGAACTTACTCTAATCTCTGATATTCACTCTGTTCTATGCATACATTACAAAGTGTATGAAACTGTTGACCGTTTTCTATAGAATTCCAATAGCAATATTTGCAAAGGAAAAAAACACTAGTGACGTGAATTGTTGGGGGGGGGTCGGTTCACATTTCACAACAAAACTTGAGAATTACATAATTACATAGTTCATGCAGAACTCAATCATGTAGGCCTATACTTCAGAACAAACCCAACCGTAAACCGATTTAGCTTAAATTTTGATTTATCTGTATGAGATGTAAATCCAGTATATACAAATGGCTCTAGCGCCTTAAAATCATTTACTTAACTTCTTAGACGGGAGATTTGTCATTTTGTTTGGAACGGTCTTGCTTTACTGAGGGACGAAATGCTATTGATAATTGAGGGAGAGGTCAAGGAGAAGAATGAAAAGACATTTATCACCACTTCTTTCAAATTCGTTCAAATAACATTGACAAGATAAAAACTAATATCCTGTACCAAAAAGAGTCCACTGTCTGTCCTTTCTTCTCTCAATTAGTCATATTCTTTCGTCTTCTTCTTTCTTTCTTTCTTCTTCTCCTTTTTGTTTGTTTTTCTTTTTCTTTACGACCGGGAGTATAATGGATTCGATTAAATTGTAAACAGACAAGATGAAGAACAACGGAAATTAGTCTTGTTGTTATCTGTGGAAAAAACTACGCTTTCAATGGATTGAAATTTAACACGACGTGGTTCATCAGTTGTCAGTCCTTGTCTGCAGTTTTCGTCCATCTGTGTGTTTGGATAATTGCTGTTAAAAAAATTATTATGATTACGCATTTAACAGGCATAGAAATCGCAGGTTTAACCAAACTAAAACCTACACAAGAGGGGGGGGTGGAAATATTGATGCAATTAATACAATTCTTGGTTTTTGTCCCCTTCTCAGCTATTTCTTCATGTTATTCCATAAGTCGATTCACTATTTTATCTGCCAAAAACTGCAAGGTGAACCACGTGAACTGACTTCAATTTAAAACTCAACCCATCAAACCCCAACGGCATGTTTTGTTGGAATCTGTCAGGATTGGTACAGTTTCCCTTGACAGTCTTTTACATTGGGTTGGTACACCTCCAGAATCAGAGTCAGAAACAATGTTTACAGTTTCCCATAATGGTTGGAATTTGCCAGGATGGGTTTGGTTCCTAGTAAATCATGCTAGGGAGTTAGGGTTAAATGTTAACTTGCTCCTCATATCAGCTCCTTCTGCTTGTTCCTCGGCCCTGGCCAAGGCATGACACACAATTCCACCCATCAGTTACTGGCACCCTTATGAGACTTGTATACTGAAAACGTTGTCATTTGTTACAGATAATTCTCCTGTCTAACCCTCTTGAGATTTAACGTCTCCTATATTGTCCTTCCCTTTCTACTTCACCATTTGCCTCATCCATCTCCCCTTCCCTAATTATCCCCTCCTATTCCTCCTATTCACACCAACCTTCACGCACTGCCATACTACTCTGTTCCATCCCCTGCATCATCTCTTCTTCCTCATCCCCCCCCCCTTATTTCTTAACCACTTCCACACTTTTTCCTTCTTCCACTCCATTCCCATTGATCTTTTCCTACATCGCGGTCTGTCCCCTATTTTTATCCCTCTTTTGTGTTTCTCCTTCCAACCCTGCATGCTTGTGAGTACCTACATGTTTGTTTCTTGTACCGCTGTTATTTGCCTTTACAGCAGATATTGTCAAGATCAAAACATCAGGCCTACCGGCCCTCTTAATGTTTTTGATTTGTACATTTCAGGTCAATACAGTCAGTCAGCAGTTTGCAGCAGTTTTATTCATGTTCAAATTGTTACCTTGTGCTTGCTGTTATATTCGATATTGAGAACTCTGGTGTTTCAACTCTGCTACGCCTGCACCGACGTTGCCTTCTGGTAAAATGTATTTCCGGGCGATTTACAAATCGCATCGCACCCAGTAAAGCCCGGTTCATACTCGGCGCGAAGCGAAAGCGAACGCGAATTTGTGACGTGATGGCAAGTATTCGCTCTGCAAATTCGTAAAAGTTGAACATGTTTCAACTCGGGCGAATTTCACAGCGAATGTTTCGTGACGTCAAATTCGCTTCGCATTCGCATTCGCGTTCGCGTGAAGTATGAACCGGACTTAACACGTGATGAACACCTCGAAATGTACTGGTTAATGGTCCGTAATGCAGGACCTAGGGGGATATGTCAGTCAGTGATTGCGTCGGTACGGTAAATACAAGAGCGCGGAAAAGTTGAGTTAATTAGTACCGTCCTTCGGGTGTGAACACTTGATTAGCACATAACGTCCCTTCTGCTTGAGACGTGGACTTTAATTACATCTTTTACGCAGAGGCTGTGTCATATTCAACTCAATCAGGCTGTATCCTCGGCTTCGGCTTAGAAAGGCTTTTTTCCCTCGCGATTTGCGAAGCACTGCTCAAAATAAGTCGATGCGTTATGTTCTACATCAATTACATTTTTTTCTAGCTTATGATTACGTGTATGAGGCAATGTTTAAAACATAACTAAGTGCTTTTGACATTAAGTGCTTTTTAAGTTTGAGGTACTTTTCAAATAAATGAGATTTGGATTTATTGATTTTCGATTCGTGGCTTCTGCGCATGCGTTCATCCGTAACTAAGGATTCTGTGCTTACAGGGGAATTGTTCTGCTAGCGCGGGTAACACAACATGGTGATCTTAAGAAAGGAATCATGTGGTCGTTTGACCCAGAAACTTCGGCTAAAGTGTCATTTTGATTATAAAAAGGGTAATTTTTTACCCTGAAAAAAATATCAGGGCCCAATTTATTTGCCCAATTTCAATTACCCTTTTTATAATCAAAATGACACTTTTGCCGAAGTGTCCGGGTCAAACTGACCCGGAAAATGATCCGGAGAAGAGTCAATTTGCCTCGGAAGTGCCATTTTGACCCTAAAGATTATCAGGTCAAAATGATCCGGAATCCGGATCACAGCGACAACAAAATGGAACTCTATGTTTATCATTTGAAGAAACTGACATGATTACCATACAATGCCATGGACAGCTTCAACTACTCCAACGACCACCATTTCATTTGCTGGCATCTCTCTTTAACCTTTTTTTTTAACTTGGCATTGGTACTCACCGTGTTGCTGAACCACCTGGTTCTTATTCATAAATTTGTATGTATTTTGTGCACTTAGTTTTATAGCATGTTCACCATAGTGATCAGTGATCATTCTACAATGTAGGAAAACCTGCGCGGCATTACCTTAAAAGGCATACCGGAGGCCCATGATGAAAATTCACGATTCACTAATTTGAATAAAACCCACACATTTAATAAAGCGAGTATATATTTCCAATCACTCGACAAACATTCATGTACTGAAGTCCATTACAGCTCATATCGATTTTTACACTGACAATTCGTGTACTGCGAAGCCATTCATGGACATGGGAATCTTTCAGAAACATGTTCCAGCTGCTCAAATAATTAGCCTTGAAATTAAAATGAAAACTTTTTGTTAAACTGGCGCATACCACAGCAGGCTCAACCATTTTGGTCCTAATTATGCAGGACTCCATATTCATGCTTGCTTGTATTCGACCAATTCCATCAATATGTCAATAATATCAGCATTTTCGGTAAAGATTATTTTGTCCTCAACTTCCTGGTATGTTTCCTTGCTCTGTGGTATATTCTAAGAGGCTTTCAAACAGTTAATTACTATTGGAACAAATGTGTGCTTGGCCGGCTTTAAACAGTCTGTTTAAAACTGGTTGGAGTCTGGATGCTGATAATTACCCGAGCTGAAGACGAGGTAACTAAAAGGCACCGGATTTCATAGGAGTCAAAATTTCATGTGACATTGGAAAAGTGTTTAAGACCGGCCAGCCGGTCTTTATCAACCGTTTAAAACCGACCACGTGACGGGCTCTCGACCAATAGGAATGGGCAAACTATCTCAGGTATTTATGAATGCAACATAAATGAACCACAAATTGTCTGCTCCCATTTAAAAGTTGTTTGCAGTTGCGATACCTGTTGAATAATGTAGAACTCAAACAATGATTTCCATGCATATGTGATCGCGCACATCTTTCTGCAGGTAGTCTGCGGGTCCGTTTTATGCACTAAAGGTTCGAAAAGCCATTAAAAATTGGCCATAGCTATCAGCCTTCAGTTTGCCTATTATGCATACACAACCAGATACATTAATATTAAGCAAGGACTCCATATCCAAGAATTCGTCTTGCAATAATTCATACGCAATAATTATAGGCTGTAGTGTCTCGCACTATTACGATGGGTAAATGACCATCAGATAAAATAACCCTCACCATTGTTGCTTATACATTTTTTAAAGGTGCTTGACGGGAGATTAACAAAAGTCAGTGTTTCTGATTACGAAAGCCCACTGCACACGAGAGCTACGTGCTGAGCAAAAAGTCACTCGAGGCCGTTTGCTCAGCACGTAGCTTACAAAATATCACCGTGTCCTGTCAATTTTTGCTGAGTTTTTCTGCCTCGCGAGGCCGTGAGGCACATATTTATCCTGTCTGATTTGTTTCGCCCCGCGAGGCGAAAAACTCACCGTGTGCGGTCAGCCTGAGCTACGTGCTGAGCTAAAAAGATTAACTAGCCAATGAAAGCACATACTCTATTCACGTGATTTCATGATATTGTTTTGCAATTTCTTCTAAAGCCTTCTTGTGTCTACACCCATTTTTAAAACAAGGATAATCTGGCCACAACTCAACCAGCTTGCCCTCTAAGATAAAGTCGCTGGCACTTTCTACGGGGGCTGCCATCTTCAAGTCACGTGACCAGAGTATGTGCTTTCATTGGTTAGTTAATTCTCAAGGCATGAACACCATTACATCTTATATTTTTCAAATAATTATCGTTTCGTAAAAGTGCATCTAGCGCATCTTAAGAGCCACAAAAATCGGCTGGAAAAGCTTCAATCTTACTTATATTTCATTAGCAACGTTGCAATTTTGTTTCACAAAGTTGTAATTAATTTTGTCCTAATCACAGGCTGAGGTGATTTTTTTTGGGGGGGGGGCGGAGCATAGGACATCTGGACCATTTAAAAGAGTGAAAGTGCATGAAAGAACAAAAATTGTTGTTGCTTATGTTAATTTCGGACTGATTCACGTCGGGATTTTGCACAATCATTTCTTAATTTTCTAGAGTCAGTGTCACAACTTCAGAGTTTATACAAACCCCTGTCAACAACTTAACTGACTAGCGTGGGTCTTCTTCGATCAGTAAGCCTCTATAGGCCTAGCATCATCATAAAAAGGTGATGCAACGTGTGAATCATGCCCTACATACAGTGGCGTAGCCACCGGGGGCGTGGGGGGGGGGCGACCGCCCCCATGAAACCTTGTCGCCCCCCCCCCAGTCGCCCCCCCCCCCCCTGAGATTTTGAGTTTCTAAAAAAATTATCATTGATCTACATGACGCCATGGGCGTCAATCCTGGGGGGGAGGGGGGGAACAGGGGACATGTCCCCCCCCCCCCCCACACTTTTTGAAGGGTGGGGGACAGATTTTTGAGCTCGTGTCTCATTTACAGGGCCCTGTTATTTAGGCCTACTACAATGTATCTTTTGCTTAGAAAATATTGGTTAAAGTGGTCAGAAATTGCCTCAGATAGCACCACAGAGCAGTTAGAATCCAACATTTTTCAAACCCCACGCCTAAAGCTCAGAATTCTGGTAGCTGATTCAATGACTCCAACCTCGAAAACAATGTTCAAAACATTTTCTTATGCCTTTAGCTGAGAAAACCTCGAAAATTATGTTTAAATTATTATCTTTTGTGCTAAGATAATTATTGGTTAGAGTGGTAAGAAATTGCCTCAGATCACACCACAGAGCATCGAGAATCCAATTTTTTCGGGGCCCTTAAGCGGGCCCCAAACCGCACGCCTATAGCTCAGAATAACGATAACTGATTCAATGACTCCAACCTCGAAAACGATGTCCAAATAATTATCTTTTGCTGAGAAAATTAAAGCATGGAGGAAAGTGGTAAGAAATTGCTTCAGATCACACCACAGAACATCTAGAATCAATTTTTTCGGGGCCCTTAAGCGGGTCCCGAACCCCCCTGCATGACGCCCCCCCCCCCATGAAATGTTCCAGCCCCCCCCCCAGCGGCCCCCCCCCCCCCCCCCCCCCCCCCACTGAAAAATTCCTGACTACGCCACTGCCTACATAACACGTCAATAACATCAATAATTCAATATCATAGCATCATACAACATAATTACACTTTCCTAATGATGACACACCTATGTTCCGACACCTATGTTCCGGCACCTATATTCCGACACCTATGTTCCGACACACCTATGTTCCGACACCTATGTTCCGACACCTATATGTTCCGACTGCTCATATTTCTATCCCTAACCCTAACCTCTAACCGGGAGTAACACAATCTTATGCATCTTTGGGTTGTCGGAACATAAGGGTGTCGGTAAAAAAAGAGCATTGACCTGTCTAATTAGCCCCTAACAATTTGTCGCAGTAGATTCGGCTCTAAAATTCATTCACACATCAAACCGCGTCTTCATCCGGAGGCTATTTCGGAGAAAGACATCAAGCCTTGCTTGTCGATGTGGGGAAATTGGCAAGGTTAGGACAACTTCAAACAAACTGCAAACACTGACGGTATCTGTGAACCTGCGTATGAGTGATTTGAAACGGAAAGATGATTGCAATGTTTTGGCTTACCCTCGAGTTATCCCAGACCATTCCCAGCTCGTACTCGGCCAGGACGTTGGGGTTGGCATTAATGCTCTCCAACGCCATATTCACGGCGACCAGAACCCCACTGCCGTCCCAGCCCCCGCCGGGAAGCGAAAAGAACCCACCAATGTACAGTGGTATCTTCGCTGCGGACTCGCCCCCTCCTCGGGCAGTTGCAGACGGCTCGGTCGGTGCCGTCGCCTCGTTCCAGTCTGTCAAAGACACGTTATTGCCGAGGGGAACCACAGTTCCCGGTAGCGTTTGGGCGTCGAAACTGGGAAACCAACACATCGTGAAGAAGACGAACCTGCAGACTCGTACGGCCTTCATTTTAGCCACTACGAAAATGATGTGATGACTCGAGTCTCTCGTGCAGCAGCACAACGCGCAAATGTTTCGTTTGGGTACGTGGTAGTATACAGCAACTATATCACAGCAACCCCGTGTGCATTAACGCCGGACTTTAATGCAACGGCTTCGTTACGGGTTGACGAATGCAATCATTTATGGCTCTTAACGCAATTTACCAACAGACTGGCAGTAGGTCGGCATGCATCAGTATGTCACTGAAGAAGAGTGCCAAACATTAACTAAAACGAAGAAAAAACTAAACTAGCAGTGAGCCCTTCAAGAGCACCAGCCGATTTGGTCACGGAGGTGGACAATGTCCACCAATCAACTCGAACAAAATGATGTCACCATGAGTGTGAGTGCACCTCTACGTCATGCATTTTGAAAAATGCATGGTACCACGTTATCGATTAACGTCATAAATCGTATCCAGTCATCATGGCTACATTTTAAACCCTTCTCGCTTGATTGATCCCTATTGGTTTGGCTATAATGAAGACAAAATGTAATTAAGTAAGATTTGAGGCTTTGCATGGTGGAGATCCTAAATAATGAAAGGTTTGCGAAACACCATGTGCGAATAATTAATTATTTGCACATGGTGTTTCCGCAAACCTTTCATTATTTACAAAATGTAATGTTTCTTTTTTTTAGGACAAAAAAGAGCGCGCTGTTTACAACAAGCTTTAATATGAAAGTACTATTGCGATAAAAATTAATAGTCTGATTTCAATGCCTAGAGATTCTGACTATGTGTGTTTTGACCAGTCATAAGTCACGGGCAGCCGCCGATATCACGTGACCAAATTAATCCCCAAAAAGTACCGATGTAAATTAGCCCATGTACCAAAGGGATGAACACACAGGCGTTTTAATAAAGGTTTTCAAAGTAACATGTGCGACTTGAATCAGGACTAGCACCCAAACAACTCAATTTTTGAGACTCAACATTTTGATCCCTGAAATTCGTTCTCACAAGAATTACACAAAAACCGAAACCGGCCACTTTCTAAAGCATGGTTGTGTGGACGTTTGTATTCTACTTTTAATTGATCCTTCCAACTACGTATAAAGCCCGGTTCATACTCAGCGCGAAAGCGAAAGCAAACGCGAATTTGTGACGTCGTGGCAAGTATTCGCGCTGCGAATTCGTAAAAGTTGAACATATTTCAACTCGAGCGGATTTCCCAGCGAATGTTTCATGACGTCAAATTCGCTTCGCATTCGCTTTCGCATGAAGTATGAACCGGGCTTTAACCGGGCTTAACATTTCGTGAAAAAAAACGCATTTTGTAGCCTAATTGTGCGCTTTCCAGAATGTGTTTACGTGCAGGATTTGCGGAGCGCGAACGTATATTTCAGAGATCAGCGGGAGGCACCTGCTAGCTGGGTGTCTTACAAATGATCAGTGCGCCCTCAATCGACGTTTTTTGGAGTCAGGTTTCGTGATGCATATTCATATCGTACGAATTCGTACGATCGACGGGTACCTTCGGAGGGTGTTTTGCCAAATTGTTCATCATGAACGTTATGTTTTATGTAATAGCGACACGTTTTGGAGTGTTTTTCATAGATATAATGTTGTAATGTCGAACTATTCAAAGTCTAAAGGAAAAAAAAATTTCAAAAAGCCAAACAACACAAATAAATCATTTTTTGCACCTGCCAAGGCTTCAGAGGACAGTGAAATCGGGGCATATATATACCAATACGAACCTGTGTATAATAACCAAGTCTCTCCATTACCGTTGCATTTTGTTCACTCTTTAGGCCATTTACAAAAACAATGTGACACACAAACATCAGACGGACATCAGACGGACATACAGACATCAGATAGATACACAGACATCAGACAGCATTGGATCTTTAAATATAGGATAGGCCTAGTAGGGACCGTTAGAAATGGTACGCGCACGGTAGGCCTACTATATATCACCATTTTGTGTTGTTATTTCACCAAACCCACATAAATACTTAACACTTTGATTTGAAATGACCATATGAAATAACCACGCAAAATGGTGATTTAACAAGCAACTTGTTCACGAGCTGTACACGTACACCGTACACGCACCATTTCGAATGGTCCTTATTACTGGGCCATATACCCGTACCTTTGAATCGTTCCACACCATACGCAGCTCGTAGCCAGCCAGGACATTCAGGCCACTGTTGATGTGCTCCAACGCCATCTCAACGCCCACCAACGCGTCGCTGGCGTCAAGCCCGCCGCCTGGTAAAGCGAAGAACCCGCCAATGTACAAAGGCGTGACCGGGGCGGTAGACGACGCGGGCTGCTCGGTAGCCGTCCCATTGTTGTCTGGTAACGCTAACGTGGAAACTTGCACCGTAGTCTGTGATTTCACCAACACTGGGGTGAATGGACAACAGGCGATGGCCAAAATTGTGTAGACATGCACAGTGTCCATTGTAAAATATCACATTAAATTGTAGAGTATAAAGAAGTTGGTATGGTGGTTTACTTCTCAAAACCCATTTTGAACAAACAGACAAAAGAGCCTATGTCATTATGGTCTCGTTTCATACAGACAGCTGAGGGGCTCATCGTCGTCAAGTGGAACGCCACCATTATTTCTGCTGGTATCTCGTCATGATAGCCGGACAAGGTTATTAATTCCTTTCAGACAGTTTAAAATATAGTTACGTCACGAATTTAATGAACACACAATACCAGTATTTGATTTCACTTATCTTAAGTGTAGGACTACTTAGTTTGAGTGTACACCGGTGGAACACATACGGTGCAAGATTGAACTACAATCTTGCCCCGAGGTCCTGTTAGTAATTAGGGATGACAGTGTGATGGAGCAGTTATTTAAACGCGTGTGGTTTAAACCATGGGTTTGGTCGCTGATAATGGCCTGGGGCGAAGACGAGAGCTGTCATCGGCGACCAGGCCCCTAACCGGTTTTAGACATTAACAAAATATCGTTAAAACCTTGCAGCATATTATTTGAATTCAAATCAGCGCCCAAGTTGAAGATTGCTACTCACTGTCGGGTGCAATTTTGGTGTACTAAGTGCAACTGTGATGATGCCTTCATACAGCTGGTTGAGGTATTCGCCACTTTCTGTTGAGTCGCTATTTGCTATTATTATACAGTATGTACAGTGTTGTATATCGAGTTCATTTTCACGAGTACGAGTAGTTTGCCATGAGTACGAGTGTGAGTACGAGTATCCTTTGTCATGATTACGAGTACAAGTATACGAATGCCAGCAAATTGTACAGTGAGTGCGACAGTTCCGGATCATCGACAGTTCCGGATCATCGACAGTTCCGGATCATCGACAGTTCCGGGTCACTTGATTTAATAAAAATTCATTCAAGTGTGACCAAACTTTTTTTAAAGATTTTGTTTTCACCAATTTGAAGGTTTATCATTTTTGCAATTGTCGGGAAAAGGAAATTGCGGAAATCGCTTAAACATCACCCACGGTCCAGTTCGGCGAAATGACCGCTTGTTTTGTAACTGGCCTGTGAAAGGAAGCGCATAAAGGCGAAATTCTGGTTTCCTGTGGAACGTAATCAACACTTATCGTGTTTTTTTTTCATTAAATTAGGGGAGTCTTGTAAGAAAATAATCTCAAATATTACTGAGTAATTATGTGTTTTGGCATTTGTATTAAATGAATTGCCGTATTCGCCCGCGTGCGACAGTTGCGGATCACCCATGCACACGACAGGGGGGGGGGGGCCAAAGGGGGCCATGCCCCCCCCCCCCTAAAAAACGAAACAATTTTTTTTTTCTTATGTGACATCGCAATAAAGGCAGGCAATGAGTACACACCATCTTTTCCTCAAAAAACATTGGTTAAAGTGGTCAGAAATTGCCTCAGATCGCACCACAGAGCATCTAGAATCCAAAAAAATTTCGGGCCCTTAAGCGGGCCCCGAACCCCACGCCGTAATTTTTTGACCCACTTTTTAGGGGGACCAATTTTTTTTGGGCCCCCCAAAAAATTGTGTTCTGGATCCGCCCTTGGCACACGATGCAGTTTTGTGTGCAGTTTACATGATGAAGGCATGAAACACGACGAATGATGAACCAGCAGATCCGGAACTGTCGAAATTGATCCGCAACTGTCGGGTTCAGTCCTGTACAAAAGCCATGATTTATTTCCCTTGAAGTTGAGTCTGTGTGGACATATTTGGTTTGAACTTGAAAAGGAGGAATTTTACTACTATGTCAATTGGACACGGAAACCCCAAACATGGACGGGTGTACAGCGCACCACTGGAGCGGTTTGTATAAATCCGGAACTGTTGCACCGATAATACTCGAGTTCGAGTAAAAGTATGAGTACTTTCCAGGAGTATAGGAGCAAATTTCGATGTGTCACGTGTCTTAAAATGTTTTTCGGGTACGAGTACAATATACGTCACGAGTACGAGCCCCAGCACTAGTACCAGTACGAGTACTAGTACGAGTACGAGTTCGAGTACGAGTACGAGTACAAGGACGAGTTCGAGTACACTGTCACGAGCAGTGGCGTCACCAGACTTTTCAGTCTGGGGGGGGCACAGGGGGGGCACCAGCATTTGATGGGGGGCGCACTTAGGTGGATACGGATCGCCGTCCTGGGGGAGGGGTCTAAGGGGATTTTCGCATACGGAGGATGGGCTAGATGCAAAATGGTGCCACATTTGATGCTAAATTCGATCTGAAGATATCTCCAGAAATTGCTATTTTTGAGGTAATGATTTTAACAACGCGCAGAATTTTGCAGAGGATAGGGGGGGGGGCACCAGCATTTGATGGGGGGGGGGGGCACTCGGGGGCACTAGGTTTTCCAGGGGGGGCACGTGCCCCCCCTGGCCCCCCCCCCCTTGGCGACGCCACTGGTCACGAGTACGAGTACGAGTACAAGTACGAGTACGTGTACACTGTAACGAGTACGAGTACGAGTACGAGTACGAGTACAAGGACGAGTTCGAGTACACTGTCACGAGTACGAGTACGAGTACAAGTACGAGTACGTGTACACTGTAACGAGTACGAGTACGAGTACGAGTACGAGTACAAGGACGAGTTCGAGTACACTGTCACGAGTACGAGTACGAGTACAAGTACGAGTACGTGTACACTGTAACGAGTACGAGTACGAGTACGAGTAAACTATATCGCGAGCACGCGAGCGAGATCACGTACCAAACAAACGTTCTCGTAAGTAAGAGCACGAGTAGGCCTTCTACAACACTGAAAGTTATGCTTTCGTAAGATTGCAACAGTACGGTACATGAATACTTCTATTTGTTCAAAGAAAACCCGATGGCGTTAACCTTCAGCCTGCAGTAATTCATCTTTAAATCATCTTGGATATTATCAATGATAAAAATTGTCAAACTCAAAACAGGAACACGAAACAAAAACGCTGTACATATACCACAACACAACTTATTCAAAATATCTATTTTTTATTACAAACATACACAAAACTTCACAATTTGCTTCTCCTGAGTTCTCCTTAGTCATTTTATGAATTCAATCCGTAATAAGCCTACCTAGTAAATTGTGTTCCATTTTTTTCAAACTTGTTAGAAATCAAGTCAACAGTCTTACATAAAGCTCAATGACGTTGCCCAACGAAGGAGACAAGTTCGTTTCAATACCGCTTAGACTATCTAAAAAGAAGAGAAAAACAACATTTCACATTGCGCCAATAATAACGAATTTCATCTGGTGCAGATTTCAGTATATCTCACTATACTGATTCAGGATAAAAATGCTTCGAACTTTTTTGTTTCAAAAGAACCAACGATACAAACAGTTTTGGACAATTCCCTTACAAAATTACTCACCAATCAGACACAAGTTGTAATAGTGCTTGTGACGAAAAATATATAATCATTAAATGTTCTCAAATTACTTTCATTGATATTTACAACACTAAACAAATATCAAATGTTAAAATTCAAGCTTTTATACCATGTACATATTTTCCATATTTTCATTTCCGCATTACTATCCTCATCTTGGTAAAATACCCTGTTATGTTAATATCAATTGCACGATATTAGTATTTGTTTCATCAGCAGGGACGAGATTTTATTTTCATACCTTTTATTATCATAAATAGAGTAATGGATTGAGCTACTGAAGCCTATACAAACAAATTTCAGTTGTTTTTGGAATTTTTTTTGGGGGGGGGTATGTTCCCGTCTCGTAGTACCCGTCCCGTTATTGGATGTTAAAACAATGTCCGTTTAACTTTACGTTAAAACAATGTAAAACTGTAAACAAACAAAAACTAAATAAATAAATAAATAAAAAAATTTAAAATACATACGGGCTTAATAGAATGTCATAATATATATAACGACTTTAGGCACCGATATGATTTTTATATAAGACACGTATTGGAAGCAAGGGTAATATATTTTTTGCATCCAAATTTAAAAAGAAATACCTCCAACTCCAGATAAGAACATTAATCACAAATTGGACGGAAGATGATTCAGATATACTACATGACATTTACACTCTTGAAATTTAAAACACATCTTAACTTCAACCACTCATTTAAAGATATGGAATACCCATAGGGCTTTGTGTTCTTTAATTAAGACAAACATATACTGTTTTAGCTGACACCTGACGTGTACAAAAATACAAAAATAACGAACTCAAGCCTACATGGCTTACAGTGCAGTAACAATATTCACGGAATAACCTGACCAAACGGTGTATCAGTATCTGCAGTCTACATAGTTATTCACAAGAAGTGCAGAGAAGGTATCAGTGTATAACAGAATAGTGGGTTAAAATTTGAAGAAAAGTGAAATAAAAACACCTTTTTACAATTGTTCTTAAAATATTGTTCATATTTTTTCAACGCTCCTCACTAGGATGGGATTGGTGCTTCTGAAGATCGGTCAAAATGTTTTTGTCTTTTTCTGTATGCAGGAATATACAAAATGAAAAATATGCCGTATGCCTATATGAGTTTTTGTTCAAACACGAAAGCGATATAGGCGTGTGTTCACTATCTACAGATGTTTAGTCAGTTCCCAAGACGTTACCAGAGACACACGCTGGTATGTCGACTACGTTGATATTAACTGCAGCTGGAAAAGGGAGTTTTCAGCAGACAATATTTTGTTTTCTTTCAAGTGTAAGGATCATTTATTCCAGCGGTTTTCTGTCAAAAAATGGTCAATATATTTTCAGATAATCGCAAATGCTGCACTGGACCTATTTAAAACAAAAAAAGTTAATTTTCTTTTTCACTGAATTGTTTAATAAACATCCCAGCAGCTAAGAACCGTACATAACTGCGGTGTCCCGTCAGTATGAAGCGATCATGTGCAGCAACCCTATGCGAAAAGAACTTACAAATATGCGCTATTACATTGCCTTTAGTTCACAGGAATAAAACACACGAGTCTGAAAAACACTATACGAAAAATAGTTCCACAAAAGATAAACAACAATTTCTCAATAATTATGAACGTTTACTTTGCGTTCCGCGGGATTTATGGGCGTTTCCCAAACATCGGCTAGGTCTCCGTCCGGCTTCGTTTCTTGCTCAAGAATCATAAGAGCCTGTAACGTCCTAAACCATTAAAAAAATACGCTAATCTTTGGTCCAATATAAAAAAACAAATAATCAATTTTTTGAAGCAGAAAATAGACACATATTCAGCCAGAGTACTCAAATAAGGAATCGTATAGCTGAGGTGTAAGGAACACCCTAATATTGTCGGTGCAAGATTTGAAAGCACCGTGTATAACTCTAATATATTCATCAATCCGATTTTGAAAGTAGAGTGATGCTTCCATGCCTGAACGCCAATCACACGTCCGTTTTGCGAAGTTCTGAACACGACACTAGGTGTGAGTGTATTGGGCGAAATACCAAAGTGAGCTATGGAATATCTCTGTAAATGGTAGAAAACCACACCAGTAAGCACAAAAAGTGGGCAACGCGGATTGGTTCATACAGCAGCTGTGCTCACACCGGAGGGTTCGTCTATTGCAACTGGCTGGGAATGCGTTTCAGTGATGGTTTCGTCAGCACTGTAGTCCTTCCCTCTGGATGGGGAAAAGCCACAGACCAGTCCACATGACCAGAATCCACAGCCATCTCCTGCTTCTGGATGCGGGCCACGCTGGTGAGGGCCCTGTGCTGCCTTGATCTGGTTCTCCAACTGGACATGAAGAAAAAGACAATCATCGGAAACTTGTTTAAGATAAAAATCCGATGTTTGTTTTTCTTACGAATTTTCGAATTCTGTATTAGATTTTAACGAAAAGCACAATTCTTATAATTGAGGGCGTCTGCAACTCGGTCCGGGTCCCTTTGTTCTCAATTCTAATAAGGGTAATGACCAGTCTCCCTGCGATGAATGAATTTTTTGCGGGCCTCGAATAATTCAAACTTTGTACATTAAGGATTCTGTAAAGTAAACGTGGGAATATTTTTTTTCGTTCGATATCTCATTCAAAAGTGAAAAACTTTGATAATACATGTACTAGAAAAAAAAAACATTTAAAAACAGCCTCTTTTCGGGGTCACACTCAAAAAAAGCATGGACAATAACTAAAAAGTGTGTACAATATCTCATTAATTTCCCTCATCAAGCGTATTGACTGCTTGAATGAACGACTATTAGTATTACTGACCTGTATCGGTCCCCATTGCAGAGGCGGATCTAGATTTTAGGAAACGGGGGGGGTTTCATATGAAAAGGGGGCAGAGAAGGCGTACCTAAGGCACGCCCTGCTAGGGGGGCCAGGGCATGGCCTGAGGAACATTTTGATATCTGCAGTGCTTCCTCCTGCATTGTAAGGCAATTGGAGAATAAATTTAGGAACTTTAGCATTCCATTATTAATTTTTGGCCCCATTTTACTATTATCGTAACATTTGTCAGGTGCTGAAGGGGGAGGGGTTTCCTCTTCAGATCCAAGGCAAGAACAATTAATATGCCTAAGCAGAAAAAAGCTCTTAGCAGCCGACATGCCATGAATACGCATGTGACTATTTCCAAGCTGATTTATGCTAAGCACACGGATTTTCTGCTGAGCCTCTTTACGGAAACTGATTCCTGGTCTTTATTTACCTCTCGGATCCTGGATTTGAGCTGCAAGTTCTCTGTGGTTAAGCTGGTCGTGGTAACGCTGTTGGACGTCTCGCTCAGGTTGGTTCGAGTTTTGGCCGCCGTTTGTGTCGGATCACCGTCGGGGTACTTGACCACTGCAATGATCTGCACCGTTTTAGAATGGAAAAAGCCCGTGACAAAAAAATGATACCAATTTAATATCAGTCGGTGTGTGCTCATTCAATGTTTCGTGCATAGATGGAAATGCTAATATCGAGGAACTATTAGAAATGGTGCAGGTAGGGGAGACCTATAGGGTGTCGATCCCCCAAAAAGTTATGCAAGCAGATATCCTTTCTTTCTAAAAAAATTAAAATAAAAAAAAATAGTTAACATGGGGATTTCATCTTCATGGAGCATATTTAATTATACTGTGGAAATCCGTTCATGCAAACCAGGAAATGGTTGCCATGGAAATCCGTTCATGCAAACCAGAGATCTAACAGATCGTAAATGGCTATGAGTTTTTTCACCCATTCCAATGGGATTTACACAGTCAGTGGTATCAGTGAATCAGATTGTCACTCTGATGCATATCCCATCCCATAAGAATGGGTGAAAACCCCATAGATTTGCATAATCTGTTAGATATCTTGTTTGCATGAACGGATTTCCATGGCATGTATACAAAAGAGTGTCATTAATATGTTCCATTAAGATGAAAAGTCTCGTGTTAAGTAGTTTGTGAGAAATTAAAGGATATCTGCTTTAGCTTTGCATTTGTCTGTGGTAATTTTATCCGGCCCATATTTTACATTTAATTGGGCGTGAGGTGCGCATAATCGTTAGTGTAACCAATACAATAACCACGCAAAATGATTGAGACATGTAACTTTTACCGAGCCACATAATTATATCCCAAGCATAACTTCTGGACCGGTGATGGTAACGAATGCGTTAAAGGGGCTAGTAAGGTGAAGTAATTCATATTCCTTTCCTCGTACTGCCACACCGTGATGATCTAGCTTTTCCCCTTTCTTATAACTTATCAAAGTTTAAAGAAGATATCAACGTCTCTCTTATCAAGCTGCTTCTTTGTTTCTTGTTTGTAGTCACCACGTATACTTCAGTAGCCCTTGGACTCATGGTTGGCGATATCAACACAGGGCGAGTCAAAAATAGGAAACCCAAATGGCACGGCTATTTTCTTTATAAAGTTCTGCATGTAGCACTTTTAAAATCTAGGATATCTAAGCCCAATTATTAAGCTTTCTTTTAGTTCAAAATCACTCACATACTTTTCAAGTTACAGAATTTTAAAGACAACCACCATCTAAAAGTTCTGTCCAGGGATCACAAAAAAGTGTCTGTTTCAGCAAAACGAAAACAATTCACACATATCCCTATGTAAATTGTATTCGTTTTGCTAAAATAACACTTACCTTTTGTGTGATCTGTAGACAGAACTTTGAACTTGTTGTGCTTAAAATTTCGTAACTGGAAAAGTACATGAGTGATTTGTATGATTCTTGTACTAAAAGAAAGCTTATAAATTGGGCTTTTGTATCCTAGATTGTGATAGTGATACATGAAGAACTTCATTACGAAAATGGTCCTGCCATTTGGGTTTTCTTTTTTTACTCACCCTGTAGGGAAAGAGAGAAAAAACTTGCCTTGGGAACGAAGACCACAATGAGTGTGATGCTTGTGCAGAAGAGGATGATGCAGGAGACGAAGACGAAGAGGGCCTCCGGGTTACTGCTGATGACGACACTGACAGCTACACCGATCAGACATAGGATGACTACATTGTAGACACTGACGCCAATCAGCTTACTGTCATTCAACCCTGGGATGGACACCTGCACGCGATATTAAACCACTTAGAAATGCTAGCGCTAATAAAGATGCATTCCCTGTGGTGTTTCGAGGTTTCACCCCGAAAAATACATTTGTTTTTTATTTTTCTCCTGGCAATATAAACGGTTTTTTTTAATGTTTACTAAGACATTGAACGAAATCAAAAGCCGATGTTTATAGTTATTAGATTATTTCTTTACAAAATTCGACTTATTTTCGGTTCGACAATAATTCGGCTCTCGCACGGTGGGATCATTAAATGAAATACATTGTGTAAAGGGTTGCAGAGGACCAAAATCATGGGGGAAAGTAGTTGATTCGTTGAAACAAAATTAAAATTCGTTCCGAGGATAAACATATTAGAGCAATGGTACACATCATTAAAATTCAATCAAACTTACAACTTAGAACTTTAAGGTAGAGAGGAATATTCCTACACGCTGCATGCTTAGATAGTTTATATGCAGAAGGCATTCATTAAGGCCAAAAAAAAAAGTCTCCGGTTTTTGGTATGGAGCTCGCCCAAAAGTGGTGCGGCGACGCGGCTTTTTTTTTTTTTTACCCAACTTTTTTGCTTCAAATGTCGGCTGATGACTGCAAATGGTGCCCGACTAAATTAGTGCAAATGTACGGGAGTCCAGAGAGTTCACATAAAGCTTATTCTCGATCATACCCCTATCTAAAAACACGTTAGAATTGTGCTGCAGCAGGATTCCAGTCAAACCAGTGAGTTTGGCGGTTTTGAGACATCATCTTTTATTGAAAAAAAAACTTTTCCATTTTGCCGACGCGCATGGCTATGGTGACGCGCGCGCATACCAGATACTGGAGACTTTGTTATTTTTGGCCTAATCGAAAACATCATATTTTCAGTCTTTCAAGCATCTTGAATAGATCTAGATATTTTCTGGACGCGGGACTGTTTTGGTATGTTTGCTCCTTACAGGGACTATTCCCGTAGAAGGGCACTTTACTCCTTTTTTTAATTCTTCCAAAAGAAGTTTGATGAACCAGGAGTTCCGTTCTTCAAGGAAGATGCATGCTTCAAGTCGACAGCATCACTTCAAAATTAAAGTGGTAATTAATGTCTGTATCAATTTTAAACCAAAATTCATAAAAATTGAAGTCACACTGCATACCTTTCTCGTTTCCCATGCCAGGAAGGTGCCAAAAATGAGCAGTAGCCCCTTGTAGCCGTAGAGGGCGCCTAGCCAGTAGGTGAGGGTATCACAGGTGCAGTAGCGGATGAAAGGCTGGATGATTCTGTTCGGTATCTCTGGGTCATCCTATATTGCGAGAAAGCGTGGTCAATTCATTTAAGTATTAACATTATTGTAGATTGACAAAGACAAGATCGTTACTTGGGTATTTTCCAAACTCCGGTTTCTTACTAGTTTCCAGCTCAGGCTTCATGATATTTTAGGCCATGGGGATACCGCCAAATAATAGTTTCATAATATGCTTGAAGAACTCCAAAATAATGGCCAATGTTATAGTTAAAGTGATTGTTTTGTTTTATGGTGGATATATCTAAGGGTGTCTGTAGTCAGAGATGCAGCCAAAGTTGGAGACGAAGCCAAGATTTTTGAACGATGTTTGAATCGAAATCCATTCACCTAAAATCTGGCAGAACCAGGCTGCAATACCCGCGACAACACGCAAAGCGGACCAATTGTCTTGTATAGACTGGTCTTAAGACGTTGTTCTATGCATAATGGTGTGCGCGATCACCTGCCGCAAGAGGGCGTTATCGCAACGGATCTCTGTCACCCACTAACCGCAATCACAACGTCTTGGGAATTACGGCACAGCAGTAACTGAATTTGAATTGATTTGCCCTAAAGATATAAGATCTACCCTAAAATATGTTTTTCTGATACATGTACTTGAAAGAATGTTGCATTCAAACTTCCTGACCTGCTGATAGAGGTCCACTGATTGAAGCCGGACGGGGTCAATCACTTGCCATAGGATCAGAATGATGACGTCAACAAGTAGAAGCACAAACACCATGATGAAGAGTTGCTTGTCCGTTACGATCTGCAAAAAAAACCGACGCTTTCATATTATCATGAGGCTGTGTAATGGATCCGCAGTATTATCAAGTGCTAATTGATAAATTCGTTGTACCATAAAGTGACGGATCACTCGGGATTAAATATCAAGCACCACAAAGTTGTGGCTAGTGTATTCTTTCTTTATGTACTTAGGCCTAGTGCACACGATCAGTCTATTGTGCAGTAACTGTCATACGTGATACGTCACTTCCTTGTGCGACTAATTTGTAAACGGATACAACGATATACTGACTGATCTTGCAACTTTGGAAGAAATTCTGGCCCTTTTTTTCAATTTATCAAATATTTCTCCTTGGGAAAATACTACAACGTTAACCAAAAAAAGTGCCTCGGAAGGTGCGACATATCATGAACAGCGCCACCACGACTAAGACATCCGTCATGGTCATGGTAAGTCAGTTTACCGCCACGGAAAGTTAGTTTAGTATTTCAATTGCGCGTGCGCGAATCAAACTTGGATGATTTTCCTTTCGGATTCACTGTTCACCGTATGCGTGACAAATCATAGCGGGTACCAACAAATTGACAAAACGTTCTTGTTCAAAATTATGGAAAAGATGAACAAAGAAATTTGCTGGAGCGGGGTTTGAACCTGCGACCTCCGGATAACCGTTCCGGTGCTCTTACCAACTGAGCTATCCAGCCCTATGTTGGCGGTTCCCCAATTAGTCAATATCTTTGTTCAAGGGGCGCTAGTCAGAAGCCATAAACCAGTAAGCCATACGGCCAGGGATCACGGCCAAAGTCACGATACAGACCTTGGATCACTCAGAGAGCATACGGCTTTTTATTACACATTTTCAAATGAACCACACAAGGGAACTAACTAGGTGAATTAGAAAAATTGAAAAGTTGAACAAAGAAATTGACTGGAGCGGGGCTTGAACCTGCGACGTCTGGATAACCGTTCCGATGCTCACAGGTTCATGCCCCGCTCCAAACAAATTCTTTGTTCAACTTTTCAATTGTTATAATTCACCTAGTCAGTTTCCCCGTGAGGTTCATTTGAAAATTTGTTCCAAATTACGTTACAATACTTCCCAAACTTTGAATAGGCCTGAGCACCAAGTTTCAAGGTGCTTAGTATTTATGCTCTTACTTAAAGGCAGAATCCAGATCTATAGTTAAAATGCCTCCTTTAAGTTGCGCGCATATATCTACTGCATATATCGGATGACCAATCTGGTTGTACTAAGGCGGTTGGAATACCGATTGGCTCATTCTTACCCGACGTTTGGGGGTTTTGAAGGCCGCAACACGATGCACCCTCCACGTCTTACTGAACATAGCCCCGAACGCCAACACAAATCCTACGGACAGAGTCCATGTCTTCACCTTTAAGAACAAATCAGGAACAAAATTATCAGGGCCTACCTCCGTATTTCTAAAAGGATTAAACTGTTAACGAGTAATAGGGCCTGTACAGGCTGCGAACAAAGCAACTTGCTTACGTTGGAACAATCAGTTCAATTTATGCAATACCTTGCATTTCGAGAGAAAAAAAGAAATAGTGAATATGCAGTTTGTGCTATACATTTAACGGTTTTCGCACAGGCTAAATTTGTTAATCCAGAACACAACTTTAATGAAAGAAAGTCCGAACAACTGCAATGGAGGGACACAACGCGTGTATGCACATACATACTGGAATTTGTATCCTTGTGGAGACATTTCTTTGTTCTCGTGTAGTAAAGTTTTCTAAAACTCTTCCATTTGCGACATATCAACAGAGCTTGGAAATTCCTAGTTCTTGAGTAAAGTCCATATATCTATTTCGTGATAACCTTGTGGAAACTATTCATCTATAGAAATTGCCCTGTGGAGATGTATACAGTCTTTTGTTCCCTATTGTGTGCATGTCTCCAGAGGGCACGGTGTATCAGATCTGGTTTGTGCGTGTGGTAACAAACCCAAATAAGCAGCTTGGCTTTGTAACCTGTGAGTGGATGCTTGTGTTCAGAGTCCATACAACATCAGATTTTGTTTAGTTTGGAAAATAAATTTTAAATTTAATCCTCTTACATAACACATGATCTCGAAGATCTCCTGCGAGATTATGTTGGTATCCAGCCCCGAGACGATGACGAAGAGATAGACCAGAACGGCACCAAGGATGATGAGATTGTTCAGATTAGGGCTCGACATCTTCACATGCCTGTGGGGGAAAACAGACCATTTGGCATTCGTTTAAATTGAATCTCTAGCGCGAGCATCAACATGTTTGGGTTGCCAAAATTAGCAATTTTGTTCAAGGCCACGCCCATATCCCATAGATCATCAATGGCCAAAACCGTAGTCGGAACCACAACAAGTGCACAATTCAAATACATCAATACGCATGCGCAATGTATATAGTGAATAACTAATCACTGGTTGGCCACTGGTCCTTATTCACCATTGCTTTTGCGCATGCGTGCATTATACACATGTTGGAGTTTCAGGACTGAGTAGGTCATAGGAACGTAGGCCTACTTACTTCTGCTGACGATACCTCACGTTGAAGGCCAAGAAGCAAAGGGACACGATGATGCAGACGACCGTTACTCCGGACACGCAGAAGTAGAGCACCGGAGACACCCCTTGGTACTGCCGGACAATCTCCATGACATACTGCGGCGTTCGGTCCGGTGGAGGCCCGTCACCTGCCCCGAAAAAAACACTGCCTTAACTCTCTATTGACATTTTGTTTCAATATTAGGTCTTGCCCTTCACCGACGTATAAACACTGTATACAAAGTGTATTACCTCCAGGCGCAAATTCCATCTTATGAATAGACATTTGTTTCACAAAAGAAGGCTAATAACCCTCGTTTATGGTTTGCTGTAAGAAGCAGATTCTCTAAAAAGCAACCAACATCATTTTTAAAGTACAAAAAGGTGTAAATTTTGTTTTACATAATGCAAGAATGAAATTATATTAAGTTACGGTGTTGTTTACCTTTTAAAATCTTAAATAGTTCCAAAACAACCAATTGATGTTGGTGTTAGTGGAGTTGTAATCGCAAGATTGTTGCCTATGATGCTTAAGTTGAGTCAATAACTCTCGAACTTTGGTGGACTCATTGGTTTCTCTTCAGTTTCCGTTGAGTTATGTTGTTGAATGACAATTTATAAACACGTCACAAACTTGGTGCGGGAAAGATCTGCATGTAGCAATGCATGTTCATGTAGCCCAAAACCATGAAGGTTTTTAATTAAAGTTGCTCCCCTTGGTATTGTCGAATGTCATTCCGAAAATAGATTTTTTTTCAATTTTTTTTTTTCTAGCAGTACCAAAGTGACTCTTCAAATAAATCTCACGTTGAGTAATACGGAATAATTACTTCACGAATTTCGAATCATTTCGGGCAAGGCAATTATTCAGAGCATTGCACAAACTGGGACGTAAAGTTAAGCACCAGTATATAGGATCACAGGTATAATTGTACATAGATACCAACGGTGTTAAACCAAAAATCGCTGCTTTTGCGATGGATTTTTCTTGCGTTGGATGCGCAAAAGCACCCTAAATGAATTTGTTGAAGAGCTCGGGGAGAAATATTAAGTCCAAATCCATCTTGATAATAACTGCAAAGCGCACACCCAGATCACCTTTTGAATGTAATCGATTTTTTTCTGTTAACGTGACTGTTTTGTGATGGCGACGCACCTGGCCAAATGATTTCCCTCCGCCAAACTAGCTCGTTGTCCAAAGCGCTGTACAGTGCAACTTGCCTTTCAGCAAACTCTGTAAAGAGAAGGAGTAAATTCCGGAAAGCTGAATATTCACGTTTTCGTCCACACCACGTGTAACGATTGGTTTTCCTGAATGTTTTTATTTCACATTCAGAACTACTCCTCGGCGCATTTTATGAGCTAAAGCGTGAAAGATTAGACATTTTATCCTTGAAATGTGTCATAACATAAACATTATAATGTTTGTCGGATTGTTTGAAATGTTTTCGATGAAGATTTTCGCCCGACGTATTTTTTTAAACAAATCGTCAAATCTTATTGTTTAAAAGTCCGTACTGTTATGAACTGAAAATATTATTTGAAGTGTCTTTCCTATATTCTTCTCTGATAAAGAGAACGTGTTATTAAATCATTTTCAAGAGAAGATTTTACATTAATTTTTTTCGTACCTGCATGGACACGGCAAATAAACGGCAATGGAGCATCACAATCTGTCCTCTGCAGTTTCCCGCCATTTTTAAAGTCTATGTACACGCATGCGCCATCTTCGGTGACATCTGGAGAACTGCCGGTGGGAATCCAAGACGTATTCATTGCATCCCCCTGCATCAGCAACATGAGCACCAGCCTAATTTCAAAACCAGAAAAAAAGGGATTAGAGTTTAATTGGAATAATGTCTATATCCCGAATTCATGTGATAACACTCGCGTGGTTAACTTTGTATTTCTCCACGCAGACTATTGGACATACACTTCATCGACTCCAAAAGTACCCGCAATTTTATTTGCGAGGCTCTAGCGTCGACATACCATTTTAAAGCTTAGAAATTCCCTGGCGAGTATTGGTTTGATATTTAAAAGATTTTGAAAATTATTCGTGTTAAAATAAACCAGTGTCGAAAACAAATCCAACTGATTTCAAGGAAAATCGATGATACGGTACTGCCCGTACATCACATGCAAACTCGAGTCACACATTGAGCGCACTTTTTGAATAGTTACACTTGCACATGAATTTCAAAAGAGAGTTTTGTTATGCGGTGTATAGTCTACGTGGATCGAAAAAAAAAGGAAACGCAGAAAGTAAAAGGCAATGAGATCGTCACATCATTAACATGATGAAGAATTTCGAAAATAAAAAAGAACGACGAATGATTTTCCTTAAAATCGGTTGAGTTTGTTTTTGACATGCCTTTATTTGAACACAAATTCTTTTTAAAATCCTTTTGCAAATCAGACCAAATACTTACCAGGGATAAAGTTAAGATTCCAAGCTTTAAAATGATATAAAACTAATGGCGGTACGTGTTTCCGCGGTGACGCTAGAGCTTTGCAAAAGATGTTGCGGGTATTTTGGGACGTGCTGTGTACCTCCATTTCTGGCATGGTTTGGTGTCTGCGCTTTGCCATTCTTAGCCATTCTAAGCAATTGGTGCTGGCTGCTTCTTAATGTAAACATAAATTTCATTACGGAGATGTTCAAGATTGACTCTATGAAGCACATGAAAAGAATCAGTGTCCCACACGTTTGACTAGCTAGGGCGTAGGTTAACCACGCATTCCGTATTAACAATCAATACCACACATTTTGAGAAAAAGAACTCTGAAGTCTCCAAGTGATTTTCATCTAAGACTGGGAGAGTTGAAACGCACTGCGTGGGTGGCGCAGAACGCAGCTGTGCCTATATAGTGTGAATACACGACATACCACCTGTCTGGAGCCGCTTGGATTTCGGAAGTCCAGGTGTCAATGAGGAAATCATGCTCCAGTTCGCTGTCAAGGTGCGCGAGGGTGGCACCGGTGCGGGAGGCAGCACAATGGTCCCCGGCCTCGGACGACGGAAGCACGGGCTGTGACACGAACAGGAAGCAGGTGGAGTGGTGAAGAAACCAACCTTCTGGACAGGAAGCTGGGGGATTAAACAAATGGACAAAAAAAAACAATATTGAAATCATAACAAATGGCCATTTCCTGTTCAATTCCATGTTCACCGGCCTGGTATAAAGTGTTGAGAACAAGGAATTTTCGGTACTAAATCCTCTACCGTCATAGCCTCAAATTTAACTCATTAACGGCTATTATGGGCAGCTATAGAACACGGACTGATTGTTCAAATTCCTTATTACCTAAACTGCAGGCAGTTGATTATTAACAAGTAATTCTGAGGCGTGTTCTTGTTGAAAAGTTGGATGGCAAGAAGTCAAATTAGGCCTATATAGTGATTCAACAAAACATTTAATTCAATTCAACAGAATATTTATTTCCATACCTTCAACAGTAATAATGACACAGGAATAATACAATTATGTAGGCACTTAATGTAACAGCAGTAAACAGTAAATTTGACCATATACAAAATGACGATTTGGGAGAATAAGATCTGATGTACTTACATAAAAGAAATTATACTCTTTGAGTTTGAGGCAAGAGATCGGATGTCCAAATGAATAAAACTGAAGCGTGAATTGGTTTCTATTTGGTTTGCGAAAGACTTGATTATCTATCTCTAATTGCTTGCCATTGTGCCGTACAGCAAGCCCTCATACATCTCACCCCACCCCTTTCGTTCTTACAGAATACGAGCAATTCACAATTGACACGAGGGTCTATATTGAAGACGCCATTTTTTTCACCTGGCGGTCGAAAATTAATCGTCCAGCCGCTACGTCATTCACCTTTCTTTTAGTGTTTACATGCAGTGCCACTGACACTCTCACGCGCTAATGTATTTGAAGCTCCAAAAATAAACTCATCGGTATTCCCGCAAAAGGAATCAAATTCAAAGAGCGCTCGACATGAAGGTAAAAACTGCCGAGTCGTTATTAACAAGGACTGGTGTTCGCGCGGATGTCGACCTTTTTCCCCTTTAACTGGCTGCTATAAATAGCTAAAGTAGCGTGGCGCACTGTATTGCATTACTATTCCCTCTTTTTCCGTTGGTCTTATTTAACGGGAAACTTTTTTTTGTAGAGAAAGCGCCTTACCTTGCAACTGCTCGATCTGCGTGATACCAACTCGATCGCCACCCTTGAATCCAACGGGACCCTGGAAGATACGAAGCCAACCCAGAGAGATATGTTACTTCGCACATAATGACACTGAAGTTCAGTTTTGGGTTGGGTTGAGTATGTTTCTGCATTCAATTGGAAACGTTGAACAATAGAGGACAGTAGGGTCCCGAATCGAATTCCCGAGAGGTCCTTAATTTGGATTCTCGTACAAAACATAATGAAGTCTTCCTAAAAAGTTAAGGTAGAAACAAAAGAGGGACAATATGGGGTCCCCGATTGCAGGCAAATACATTATTGGGTGGGTTAGGTTGGGTTGGATTCGTTGATTTGGGTTACTACACTGTTATTAAAAGTGGATTATATTTTAGCTTTGTAATATATGATTCGGTCGGGCTGGGTTGGGTTGGATCGGGTTGGATCGGGTTGGGTCGGGTCGGGTCGGGATCGGTTGAATTGGAATGAGTATGTATGGGTTTGGTTGAGTTGGGTTGGATTGGGTCGGATTTCGTTGGGTTGGGTCACTGCATTGTTAAAGTGGATTATATTTTAGCTTCGAGTGTATGATTGGGTCGGGTCGGGTCGGGTCGGGTCGGGATCGGTTGAATTGGAATGATTTTGTATGGGTTCGGTTGTGATGGGTTGGATTGGGTCGGATTTTGTTGTGCTGGGTTACTGCATTGTTCAAGTGGATTACCCTTTAGCCTCGTAATATATGACCGAAAAGGTGAACAATTTCATCGGGCGTATGCGACAATTTAATTAAAGAGTTTATCAACACATGAAAACTCATATTTGTATTTAACCTTTAACAATATTATTAAAAGCACTTACAGAAACACCATCAAACTCTGTTTCGTTGAGGAGGGTGAAGAACAATTCCGCCATTTCACGATCGTCGTAAGTAAAGTCCTCCAGACGCCTTCCATACCTAAAAAAAGGGCATTCGTTCGATTTGAGAACGTCGCAATGGACAGAAAACGCAGTCGTATGGCAAAGCAGTTTTAGGGAGTTTCAGGGAAAAGGCGCGGAATCCGTACAGGCGTATCCGGCGAAGAAACGGGGAGGAACTTCTTCCCTTAATTCCCCGGCGACATTTGGCATTATTTAAAGGAAATGAAAGCGGCAGCACCTCTTAAGCGCTACTATAGATGAAATCCCCCCACCCCCACGATTTTTAAAGGGAATATACAACATTTGCTTTTGTCGTAATTTTCACAAATGGATTGTTTTGGGGAGAGTATTTTATAGCAGATATTACTTCACTGACTTTTTTGAGGTTTTATGTTCGTGGATGCTTAAAAAAAAACAAGAAAAAAACAATCATGCTCCTGTTGTCTGGTTCCCTGACCCCAAGATGAAACGCAGCAAGTTAAAGACGTCGGGAAATTGTAAGGTCAGGGACCCAATCTAGCTGGCTTGTAACCGCTCACGGACGTGTAACCGATTGCAAACAAAATGTGGTATTAGTAAATTTGGTGATTGGGGGCAGTAGTTGAACAAAAAAATCAGGTCTTTTGAACGCTAGTCGGCCGACCAGCGTTGGAAATTGACTAACCATTTACTGACAGTCCAGAAAGGTTTTTTCATAATAATTAATGGGTTTTTTTGGGGGGTTGGTTTTTTTTATGTGTGCAAATGTGTACATTTTCTTTAAGATGGATAAAACCCGGGGAGGGCATTTCTCCTTGTAGCGGATGTGAGGAGCTGCCACTTTCATTCCCTAATGCCAAATGTTGCCCGGGGAAAGTGAGAGGGTTACTTGGTGAATATGTAACTTGTAATCCGCCATTGTACATTGTTTTCCTGTATCATCGCAAAGCATCTTATTTGCGAGGAGTCTGCATAATTTTGAACCGATGTTTGGGCACATTTTGACACCAATGTTATAAACTTTGGACATACAACATGTATGCCGATATCGTTTTTGGTGGAGTAAATTGTGAGATGCAATGATGATCACAAAACGTTCTGGCCTACTGGCCTGAACCTATATCAATGTACTAGGCTTAGATGCTCCATATTAACTCATTTCCGAATTCGAAAGAAAATATCGACCGAGATTTGAAAAGGGGATGAATCTTCCGTGGCCGTGAAAAGGTAAAACCGAAATTGTTTCTTTTGAGATTAATCCTGAGAAACGATGGATTTTCATCATTCGTTATACGTAATTAAACAAAAGGTATTCTAAAAATGTTCAATTACTTGCAAAGAGAGTTAGATTCATTTGCAAGTCCGAGTTCTCTGGCAAAATATTTGCACAGCTGCTTGTCTGGGTCCAAACACTCACAATATTCCTCCTCAATCAAAGTAGTTAGACGACTCAGCTTTAATGCTCAAGCTTGGCAATTCCCCAACCACAAGACATTATAATCCAGTAGTTAGACTCGGATAACAGATTCGATTTAAAGCCTGCACGAAAGGACATTTTATTGAAATTGAAAATCTCACATGCACCGACCTCAGCTGAGTACGGCACTTTGCGAACCTAGTTGTACATTTTTGCCCTGTGGTGGGGAAAATCATTTTCTCTGTACTTCCCCGGCCCATTGTGATTGAACTTTGGGTAATGGATTTCCAGTGACGCTGAAATCGCGTAATCGAATTAGAAAAGGGTCGACTTTGCAGAAAGGTAGGCACGCGTCATTCAAGGGCCACGAACTATAGTACCTTCCGAGTAACATTGTATAACATTTTGCATTCATCATAAAAACAGCAACAACGTTAACCTTCCCAGCAAGACAACAAAAACGAAACGAACTATCATCGAGACCAAGGGCCTAAGTGCTCTCCTTGTATGTTCAGCTAAAACTCTGATGTTGAAATGCAAAACACTGAACTGGTGTAAACATTGTCAGTGGTGGCCCTTTTGGTGTTAAAATGACACCGGTTTGTTCAAACTTGTAGGTATAACCTCGAATAGCTTGAAAGTATGTTTACAAAAAAAAGTGCGCCTGCATGCGCGATGATCCAGCAAACTAAATGGACGGCATGCATATGTCTGAATTGAACAAGAAAATTCTTTGCAACTTGCAGCTTGGAAACTTAACACACGCGGCACTGCTTGAGTTTTTCACAGCAAGTTAAGAGTGACCAGGTCCCTGACCAACATTATTGAATCTGAAATTATTTCAACAGTAGTGGGTTTTTTTGGTCCTACATAATAGACACTTCCTGTTGTCTCAAATTCAACTGTTCTCTAAGATTGAACAGCATGTTTGGTAAGCAAAGACAAACCACTTGAGCGTTTTCATTATCAAGGTGCGATGAAGAAAATGTATTTTGGTCTTGTATAATTTAGCACTGGATCACCTGACTTGCCTGCTATCTCCAACTGAATTCTAACCTCTTTTAATGAAATTCTTCTTCACTATTTTGTTTCTTTGTACATATATCTTCTGTTAAGGAGAATACACGAGAAAGTGTGAATTCGTAAATCAAAAATCCACACTTGCGAGTGTATTCTTCGACTTAAACCATTGCGTCAACAGAAGTATTGGAAAGAATGTTGCAACCTGACGCCACTTTTTTTTCATGTGTCATCTCAATTAAGGTCATTGGTTGCAAAAATGATAATAAGACATGAATCTGGGACTGAGAAATGTTTCCAATTTTGTTGGGAAATACTTGAAATGACTCTCCATAGACTTTGTATATACACAAGCACGGAAGTGGCGTCAGGTTGCAACAGTGTTTCCTGGCGTGTTTAGCATGTGTATCGCCACACCCGTACAACCAAGTTATTTTGTGTGTATAGGCTCCTTAAGTCAAAATGGATAGTTCAGACGACGATCTCTTTCTGACTAAAAGTAGATTTTGCAGTGACGGCGGAGAATCTGACAGTGAAGATGCATTGGTAATTTTCGGAAAGCAAATTTTCACGCAGACGGTCCTATTCATGCTCATTATGGAGAACAATTGTCCGACGTGTTCAAAGTGTAATTTCGAATCCACACTTTGTGACCAGTGTAAGAGACTCGTAGATCCGAATCCACACTTTTAACAATAGTGTGACGTCATAGCAATGGTTTAATACATGACTATAAAAATGGATATCCCGTGTTAGAGAAAAGTGCTATAGCTAGAGCTTTACAATGTTCGTTGCCTGGCACAAATAGAGTAAACTATCAAAACAAAATAACAGCGTTGCTGTTGAAACCCCTCAGCCGAAGATTGTCGAAAAGGGCAAACTGACATTCTAAACTCAAATATCATGTCTACCTGAAATTATCATGCAGAAACCATTAACTCACCACAGTGACCTTGACCTTTGACCCCCAAACCATTCCCAACTTGCCTGTACCCAAGGGCAACCCCCCTAGTTAGACACCAAAATCTCATTTCCAACTCAAGTTATCATCTAGAAACCATTTACCTTAAACTCACCATGGTGACCTTGACCTTTTGACCCCAAAACCAATCCCAAATTGCCTACTCCCAAGGGTAACCCCCTCCAAAAGTAAGACACCCAAAATCTCATTTCTAACTCAAGTTATCATCCGGAAACCATTTACCTTCAGCTCACCACGGTGACCTTGACCTTTGACCTTTTGACCCCAAAACCAATCCCAACTTGCCTACTCCCAAGGGCAACCCCCTACCAAAGTTAGACACCAAAATCTCATTTCTAACTCAAGTTATTATCCGGAAACCATTTACCTACAGCTCACCACGGTGACCTTGACCTTTGACCTTTTGACCTCAAAACCAATCCCAACTTGCCTACTCCCAAGGGCAACCCCCTACCGAAGTTACAATCCCAAACAACATTTCTAACTCAAGTTATCATCCGGAAACTAAGCTGCCCGGACGGACGGACAGACGGCCAGACATACGGACATACGGACGGACGCCGTAGGCGATGACAATACCCCTCGAGCCTCTCGGCTGAGGGGTAGAAATGTAGTCAGGTTAGACAAGAAAACAGTTAATTTGATCACGGGTGCACTCATGTTGAGAAGTATTCCCGTATGACTACACTTTCAGGGGTGGAGCATTTTACTTATTTATTGAGTTTAAGTTTGATCGGAGCATACAGATACCTTTCAGACTTGAGGACTTCCACGGACTTGTTTAGTGCTAGGGCGATGGCCCAGGCAGCGTCGTATCCGTAGGGAGCCAGGCTGTTCCAGGTATACCTCACGTTTTCCGGCCACGTCATGCGATCACGGAGTAACCTCTCGTACTCCGTCGGGGTCTAATCAGGCAGAGAAGGACGGAAACGGAAGGAGTGACGCGCACAAAGCACCTCGTTATAATTCCTAAGACATCTAATTGGCATTGTTCTGTTCCTCCTGGAATTTTGTCTCAATATAATCAGGTATTACTCAGGAAGTAATTGGTTCATTTGTGATTTGAACCACGGTTGGAATTTGTTGCTGTTATTGAGAGTTGTACTTGTTCCTAAATTTTCTTAACCAGTTATTCAACATATTTGAAATACGTTTGTTTGCGTTTTTTACAACGCAACTTCAAAACAACAAACCATTATGTAAGTTCTTATAAAGAACATTAGCAAAGTTCACAAGAAAAGGATAGTGAACACTATAAAACTACTAAAACCTGCGCACAGTGCAGTGTTGATCTTCCACACTGCATAAAATCTCGGTGTTAAATATTCGATATGATTTTTTTTTTTTTATATTCGGTGAGTTTTTCAATTAAGATTTAACATAGTTTTAGTTCAACACTGATGTGCTAGTGTATATTTTAAATGTTTCATATATATCTTATTCCCACGGTAACATTGGACAGAGCAAAAAAAATCGGAAAATGCTTCACACCCTTTCCTTCACTTACCATAGTTGCCCACATCCCATGTTGATCCTAAACGCAAACTGAAATCACCACGCAAAGAAACCATAATAATAACTGTGCAATAAGTAAATAGACTGTTCAGACGAACACATTGCAAAGCTATACTCACAATGCCAGCTATGGTCGGCTCTGTGGAGGTGCTCAGCTGCAAGCTCTCCGTAGAGAGGTACTGCGCGCCCTCTACGGCCAGGTTCATTTCTTGGACTGTGCAACGGATGTTGGGATCCTCGTCCATCCACCAGTTCTCGCGGTACCAGCCGATGATCATCCAGACATAGTCAGGTCCGGTCATGCCTAGCTTGTAAGCCTGAACATTGGGGAAAACAGACACATACAAAACCTTGGCAATTATAGTCTGGTTGGACTCAGCAGTTGCCTCGCTCAGATCGGGGGAGTCTGAACACAGACTCAATGGCGGGCCATTTAAAGTCTGATAACGGCCAGCGCGTGGATTGTCAGATTGACCTACAACATTAGGGACAACATAATTCTGCTACATTATAGGCCAATCAAACTAAAGTGGCGGCGGCTGCGGCACAGCCAGGATTCATACAGCAACCAATGAGAGCACAAAAGTGCGAGGCCGTTGCTTGTCCTCGTGTGCACGTGTGTCCGGTCTAATGTCGGGATGGTCCAGGTTTGGTTCGAATGAACCGTTAGTTTCATTTACTTCATTCAAACCCCCCAAAAAATGTGTAAAATTGCGCAAAAGAGGGAAACACCAAGAAATGAAACTAAATTTTACAATTAATTGAAAATACACCTGTAATAAGATCTGTCTTTCAAAGGTAATAATATTATGTGTGTAATAATAATTATTTTCATCAGTAGGGTTTTAAAGTTAAAGGGCGGATCCAGGGGGGGGGCAACGGGGGCCATGCCCCCTCATAAAAAAAGAGCTAGCCAATTTTTTTTTTTAAGTGACGTCGCAATAATGGTAGACACTGTGTAGAACACCAACAGGCCCCGAACTCCCATGCCGTAATTTTATGGGAACCACAATTTGGTTTGGTCCCACCCCCCCCCCCTAAAAAAAAATGTGTTCTGGATCTGCTCTGGCGTAAAGGGGTATTCATGTACTTTCCGATTTTTAGTGACCCAATGACAGCAGTCTTTTCCTTATGATGACTTCTAAATTTAGTTTCATCACATTGCACCTGAAACTGAAGGCACAGTTTACAAAGTAACCGACAGCTTACCTCACAAAACACCCGCCTGGCCTTGTCTTCGTACATGTTTCCGACGATGATCTTTGCATCCTGGCTCTTGAATAAGAACAACCATTAACAATGCTCATTATCAATAACAGTATATGCGGTGACAGCATGTGACAGGAATTTCTTGTGTGAGTTTGTGTGGTTCTGAAAATGAACCGGGAGATCTCCACGTTTCGGGCATTATGCTCTTACACTGTGGTCCGGTGTGGCTTGATTGACTGGGGATCTACTTTAAATCTTGTTTGGATCTCAATACCAAACAAACACAGATATGCTCTTTCAGTTTTCAAAACTCTCATGGATATTAAAGGCATAGTCCATCATTTGTAATGTGTACATTTTGTATCCGTGTTACAACTCTTTTACTGTGCTGCGTTGAAAAGGATCTCCAAATCATGTTTCTATTTTTGTAACTCTTTCGTTTATGGCATTATTCTGCCTTCAGAATGAAAAGGATAAAAATATACTCCAACTATACTCTTCCCGCAGATTTTTTTGTAGCGCAATTTATTTTTAGTCTATACTATCATTTGACATTATATATCCCTATAAGTAAATAGGTTTCGCACAAATCGCACAAATGCTAAGCCACGAAGGTTAAAGCTACAGTCCATCATTTGCAGCTATCCGAAAATAACTGGCGTAATTATTGTGAAAAACATACTTGGTTGAAAGATAGTAAGGAAACTAAACTCCCTGTGAAATTATTCTTTCTGGCATGCTGTCATTTTGAAGAAATCAACGAAAAAAAGGCCTTTCCAACGGTGCTTCTTAAGACGCACCGTTGGAAATTTCCGTTGGTAGTTTTTTTATTCGGTGAAGCGCGCGTCGGATCGGTGCGCGCCATCGCGTAGCTGCAATCGATTAATAGTGAGAACGCGTCTCGGACGCTGAATTCAGGCCCAATTCAAAACATGATTCAACAACTTTTGATTTGAAATCGAGGACCTAAAATGTTGTTTTTCTCCACATATACAGCTGAAGCTGAGCTGAAACTTCATCAGATTAGTTGTTCAGCATCATTTTTTCGATTGGGAAATCTTTTGATGCTTCAAACGAACAAAATGCACAAATTACAAATGATGAAATCGGTCGCACAGATTGAACCAACAACGTCTGCCTCTATATCCCAATCGATTTCAATTATACCAATCTTCGTTCTTAGTATACTTATGTGGACCAAATACAGAGCAGACTAAAATCCATGATTGAAGTCATTCAATACAGGCAAAGTTTCTTGTATAAAAATTTAAAACCTGGCTCAATCTCGAAGTTTTGCGATTTACAGATGTTCAAATGGACCTGTACACTAAGGTCTGGTATCTTTATTGGAATCTTTTAGCGGCGGATCTCAAGAAGCGAACATGCATGCCGGTCAGTCACGACGTATATGACTATATAATACTGCTTATATAAAGCGTGACTGTGTCCCTCGTACTTTTAGGAGTTCGATCGTTAGTCCTAATGAAGGCTTTATCCATATCACGCCGTTATTTTCAGACAAACTGCCTGATTTCACATAATGGCTGGCACGGCCTCATTAAGTTGATTCGTATAATGTTACGAATGAGCGTCCATTGTATCGTCTACCGTGGGGTATACGGTTCGGAGCGTTATGTATCCATTTTGATAAGCACGTGTTTATATAATTTGTTCCATTCCAAATGTCAAGCTTTTCAGGACTAATTAGTCTTTTGGTCTAGTTTGTTGTTGAGATGAGTGTCCAAATATGTTGAAAATCTCAGCCCACAAAATTTATCTTCAAAAGTACACAATGGGAATCGTTAAGCCTGTGCAGTGGCGTAACTGGGGGACGGAGTTTTGCGACACCCCCCCCCCCTCAACCCCCCCCCCCCCCTGCTAAATGTTCTCCTCCCCCAGTGCCTCCCCCACTCAGAAGTTTGGGAAGACTGTTAAAACCTATTAAGTGTCCCTCCTGAAAATGAGACCCCAGCCCCCTCCCCTACAAATTAGACCCCAATTACGCCAATGAGCTTGTGGTGTATTTAGTTATTGCATAAAACCTCTTGCAACACGTTTTTTTTTACGTTTGATTGATATTTAACAATTGTTGACTGCTCTGATGTGGGAAATGATGTTTTGAACACTCTCGGGGCCTATAGCACCATCGGCTTCGCCTCAGGTGCTATGCGCCCCTAGGGTGTTCAAAACGTCATATCCTACATCACAGCAGTCAACAATTGTTTTGTTATACATCTGTCATGGATTTTTTGGATTTTGATGTAAAAATCACGAAAACAAACAGCACTAAACACAACAATCATGGCAATCTAACGGCAAATCACATGCATGTCGCGTATTCGAAACAGCTGATCGTCTGCTGGTTCGCTGCTCCCACTCATGTGTGAAAACATGATGAAAATATAGCGTGGGTACCAACGATACAAGCATTTCACACTGTACGTATACAAAGTCATAGCACGTTGCGATAACTTTTTATAAACTTAACACGTGATCGTTCTATGCCAATGAAAATGCAGTATTCAAGACAGAGGTATAACAATTTTAGTCGAGTTACTGAGATTTCAATAGTAAGAATCTTATATAATATGGAATAATACGTTTACATTGGAATAGTATCATCATGTTTTGATATTGTATATTCAGGAATTCTTAAACGCCAAATTGGTTAATATAGGTTTTCCCGGCCAATTTTCATTCAGTTCTGAAAATCGGTAATTCATTTTCGTCTGAATTTGATAATCTCTCTGAACACGCGTTTCATTTTCGCTACCAGAGCATTCGATTCCATTTCAGTTCATTCAATTAAGTGATTGAGCAGCACCTTTCGTTTATGTCCATTCAGATTCGCTGATAAGACTTCTTTTTCGCTTTTAGAGGGCGATTTCAAACATTCACCATTCTATTTCACGTTAAGTTAAGTACCATTGGCATGAGATACAATTAGGGGTTTCTTTTTCATTAACCGTCAATCAAATTAGCTGTACCTGATCCAATTTAGAAAAGGTATGCTTGCGTAAATGAATGCACAGGTAACGTAATTGGCCGTCTGTATCTCAAAACCGAATGCACGGACAGTGAAAACGATTGAAGTTTCGTTGAATTGAAATGGGATTAAAGACGTGCATTCAAATTCAGACGAAAACGAATGACCGATTTCCAGAAGTGAATGAACATTTCAGGAAATTGGCCGTGAAAACCTATATAAACAGACGTGATTCAGGTATATACCTTGAGATTCTCAATCTGGTTCTTGGGATCTTCGGAGAAACTTTCAGATGAGATAATGGTGATGTTCGCCTCCTTCAACAATGTCACCAAGTCGTCTATGGCCTGGAAAAAAGGAGGGAGTGAATATCAGCCTGTAACTGCAATCGCGCATATAAGATTGTGTCACCTTTTTGATTGACCATTTTAGTTTCTCAACTACCACCCCACCCTTCAAAAAACGCAGGAAAAACCCTGACTGTGATTATTAAATTGGGAGTGTCCCTTAATTGTAATTGTTCTGTCCAATATGACAACTTACATCGTTCTTTGACGATTTCCAAAAACGACGAATGTGACTCATTTAATCCTATTCAAGGGAAGGCAATTTGAATCAGCTTTGTGCTTCAATGCACACATGCAGAAACGCACATGTTGCACTTGGAAAGGCATATATTCCAAAATCTAGAAGCAACATGTGCAAAATAAAGGGTGAGTAAAAAAAAACCGAGACTATTGTTTAAGTGACGTTCTGTATGTAGCACTTTCAAGATCTAGGGTATGAAAGCCCAATTCATAAGCTTTCTTTTAGTTCAAGAATCATTCATATCGCTCATGTACTTTTCAAGTTTTAAACACAACCGCCGTTTTAAGGTTCTGTCCACGGATCACAAAAAAAGTTCAGTGTTTGTTCAGCAAAACGAAAACAAATCACGTAAAGGATGTGTATGAATTGTTTTCGTTTTGCTGAAAGAACGCACACCTTTTTTTGTGGACTTGATCCGTGGACAGAACTTTGAACTTGAAAAGTACATGAGTGATATGAATGATTCTTGTACTAAAACAAAGCTTGTGAATTAGGCTTTTATATCATAGATTTTGAAAGTGCTACATGCAGAACTTCACTAAAACAATTGTCCCGACATTTTGGTTTCGGGTTTTTTTACTCACCCTGTACAGGGTAAGTACAAACAACTGCAAAAATGCAAAAGAGCCATCTGTGGTTTTTTTTTAAACTTAAGCTGAAGTTTTGAACTTTTCAAACCTTTGTAATAATGACATATTCTTTAGAAACCTTGTGTGAAAAAAACGAAGTTAATCGCATTTACCGTTGTCTTTTGTGAACCTTTTTACTGCGGTACCTGATTTACGTGTTTGTCCACGAGGCTTGAAAAAGAAATTGCATAAGAGCACAAAATGTGTCCCCAGAGCCGTTCTTTCCATGAGGTCTAGAGCTGAGACATGCATTGCCTTGCAGGGTTGCCAAGTAGAGGGCAGAGCTACAGTTGTGTGATCAATGAAGGACACAGTAACTTTAGTATAGCCATGAGAAACGTTGCGTAAACATAAAGAAGTGAAACAGAAAAAATAAAGCTTGAGCTAAGGTTCAGTCAGTTTTAAATCTGTGTTGTCTATAATGTCTTTATTGCACCGTTTCCACTCCCAAAATTCTGATGCCTCGTGGACAAAAAAAACGTTTATCGGGTGCCGCAGTAAAAAGGTTCACAAAAGACAAGTGGTAAATGCAATTAACTTTATTTTTTTCATACGAGGTTACTATGGTACTAGGGTTCCAAATTCTGATTCTTTGTGGACAAAAACGTTTATCGGGTACCGCAGTAAAAAGGTTCACAAAAGACAAGTGGAAAATGCAATTAACTTTATTTTTTTCATACGAGGTTACTATGGTACTAGGGTTCCAAATTCTGATGCTTTGTGGACAAAAACGTACATCGGGTACCGCAGTAAAAAGGTTCACAAAAGACAAACGGTAAATGCCATTCACGTCCTTTTTCACACAAAGTTACTAACGTATATGTCATTCTTACAAAGTTTAAAAAGTTCAAAACTTCAACTTGGTTTTGAAAAAAAATAGCTCCTTTGCATTTTTGCAGTTTTGTTTCTCCTTTCTCCAGTCCTTGAGAACTGAATGGAAATCGACGCAAGCCCAATGTTTTAGCTCCCGACTTGATCCACATTTGCGAAATCAATCATCTTGACTTCAAACAAATTTATTGACAGACTTTACGCTGAACCCAGCTGACCATGTCTAACCGTGGACAGAACTTTAAAACTTGAAAAGTACATGAGTGATATGAATGATTCTTGTACTAAAACAAAGCTTTTGAATCAGGCTTTTATATCATAGATTTTGAAAGTGCTACATGCAGAACTTCACTAAAACAATGGTCCCGACATTTAGGTTTCGGGTTATTTTACTCACCCTGTACAGGGTAAGTACAAACAACTGCAAAATGCAAAATAGCCATCGGTTTTTGTTTTTTTTTACTTAAGCTGAAGTTTTGAACTTTTCAAACCTTTGTAATAATGACATATTCTTTAGAAACCTTGTGTGAAAAAAACGAAGTTAATCGCATTTACCGTTGTCTTTTGTGAACCTTTTTACTGCGGTACCTGATTTACGTGTTTGTCCACGAGGCTTGAAAACAAAATTGCATAAGAGCACAAAATGTGTCCCCCAGAGCCGTTCTTTCCGTAAGGTCTAGAGCTCAGACATGCACTGCCTTGCAGGGTTGCCAAGTCGAGGGCAGAGCTGCAGTTGTGTGATCAATGAAGGACACAGTAACTATAGTACATGTATAGCCAAGAGAAACGTTGCGTAAACATAAAGAAGTGAAACAGAAAAAATAAAGCTTGAGCTAAGGTTCAGTCAGTTTTAAATCTGTGTTGTCTATAATGTCTTTATTGCACCGTTTCCACTCCCAAAATTCTGATGCCTCGTGGACAAAAAAACGTTTATCGGGTGCCGCAGTAAAAAGGTTCACAAAAGACAAGTGGTAAATGCAATTAACTTTATTTTTTTCATACGAGGTTACTATGGTACTAGGGTACAAATTCTGATTCTTTGTGGACAAAAACGTTTATCGGGTACCGCAGTAAAAAGGTTCACAAAAGACAAGTGGAAAATGCAATTAACTTTATTTTTTCATACGAGGTTACTATGGTACTAGGGTTCCAAATTCTGATGCTTTGTGGACAAAAACGTACATCGGGTACCGCAGTAAAAAGGTTCACAAAAGACAAACGGTAAATGCCATTCACGTCCTTTTTCACACAAAGTTACTAACGTATATGTCATTCTTACAAAGTTTAAAAAGTTCAAAACTTCAACTTGGTTTTGAAAAAAAATAGCTTCTTTGCATTATTGAAGTTTTGTTTCTCCAGTTTCTCCAGTCCTTGAGAACTGAATGGAAATCGACGCAAGCCCAATGTTTTAGCTCTCAACTTGATCCAGATTTTCCGAAATCAATTATCCTGACTTCAAACAAATTTATTGACCGACTTTACGTTGAACCCGGCTGCCATGTATCTCTATCTGTATCAGAGAGTCGGCAAACCATCCCGGGGGAAACATCACACCAACTTGATGTATACACAGCCTTCCTGCCAGAAACACCGGGGCGATCGAACCCCTTCTCTTTAGCGATAAGCGTTACTGGGTTCTTTTACGTGCGTTAGGCCTTATACAACACACGGGGCCTACGGCTTTGCGTCCCATCCGAAGGACGAAGCAAGAATGGTTAAGTACCTTGCTTAAGGGTACAAGTGTCCGCGCCTGGGCTCGAACCCACGTCACTGTTGTCTCTGAAACACCAGAAAAGGAGTCTAGTGCTCTTAACCGCTAGGCCATGACACTCCATGACATGTCTAATCAAGTTTGGAAATTTCCTAGAAAAATCAAAGTTTGCATGTTTTTGCCTGACACGCCTGCCTATTCAGTTCGGTTCGCCATATAAAAAATCATGGACTTTCCATTCTGACTTAGAATTTTAATTTTATTTGGATGTGAGCCCTGACTACGTGTCAGTTATTATATTTTAATTTTATTCATGCTCTGAATAATGTACTTGTTATTTGGTAATTGCGTTTGTCTCAATTATCCAGCCCAAGATGTTTATATTTGTTTACTGGTGTATTTATTTCTTCACCATTGCATAATTGCCTCATTTACAATTTATTTTCTTCGGGTATTTCTGTTTGCCATTTGATTGCTCAGTTTGGAGCGCTGTGGCCTCGTGGTCTTGAATTCGTGGTCTTCGGGTTATTCTGCAGGTTGTGGGTTCGAGACCTGCCTGTGGCTATGGTATGTGTGCCCTTGGGCAAGGCACTTTGTCACTCATTGCTTCTCCCCGCCCAGGAGTAAATGGGCACCTGTGAGGGTAGAGATGGTTATTGTGGTTGATTTAAGCTGCTTTGTGCCGAAATGGCAGCATCAAGCTGTATACTCCCTAGGGAGAAGAGATTGTCTTTGGAATGTTTCATTGGCTCAATGAGCAGGGTAATAATGATGTAGCGACTTGAGCACCAATAATGGTGGATACGTGCGCTTTTTAAATACCCATTACCTTATTATTAATTTTTTATTATGCGTAAGATTATAATTTATTCGTTGTCTATCGTTCATTTTGTTTGTTTTCGTTACTGTTAACGTGTGCTTCATTTGTTTTTCATTATTTATTTGATCAGCTGATTCATCTGTTTATATATTTTTTCGATTATGTTATACTTAAACAACATCTATGCATAGTTTTGATTTTTGACTAGTTACACGAGTTATTCATTTACGACATTATCTATTTTGTCAATCTATCCTTCAATATTTACATTCATCCCCATGTGTATTGTATTTATGTTTGTCCGATTGTTAGTCTGTCTCTGTATTTGTTGAGTTGTCTTTTCGGTTTTGTTTTGTCAAGGCACATCCATACAAGCCCCGGGGCTTAGGAAGATGTCTCCATAATTGCATATCGTTTTATTTCTCATCTATCTATACCTGTATAATCTTAATAGTATTATTTATTACTTCACTTTATTACATTCATGGCATTATGGGAATAAATGTTGAATGAACTGAACTGAACTGAACTGAAAGGGATTTGAATAATTTCATGGTTTACCAGGGAAAACAACTCGTGGTTCTCGTGAATCGTTGCCACCCGTCTCCATCCGTACTCTCGCATCAGACGTATTCTCGCGGGATTATACATGGCATCCGGCATGTACGTCCGGTAGAAGAAGGGGAATTTCTTGCGGTTGGACAGTGCAGACGAGGCGGCTCCATACGACATCTGCGAGAATGAATCAAAGAACGTGGCGCATTAAACGCATCAGTTATTACAATAAAATTGCTAAATGTTCAGCATTTTCGTAACTTTGAAAAGTAACTGAACAAAAATTGAAAAATTCAGCAGAAGATAACGAACTTGCGCAAATAACGACTTTAACACATTTTATGCAGACAATCGTTCTGTAATATTAAAATAGTGTATTCATAATGCCTTTAAATTCCTAATGTTCCTTATAATGAAGTATAGGCCTAATGAACTAGAACTAAGTTAATGGAAGTTGAGGGAAATACACGGATAACAATTAAACAACTGAATTAAATGGCCGATCGCATAAATTATATTTTTGAAGATAATAGCCTAAAGTATTTTTAAACACCAGTGCAAGTGCATTGCACATTTTGTGGCACATATGATATTTTGCACCGTACGGAGTCTATCGATTCCGCTCAAGAAAACATCTGCCTATCAACGCGTGGTATAACTCCTCGCTATATGAATGTTTTGACTAATTTTAAGGGATCGATTTGATGGCGGGTTCACTCTAGGGAAAATCAATGAAAGTGGAAAAAGGAGCATACCCCAGCAGAGAACTGTTCCCGAAAGGTGTTATTAACCAGCAAAATGCGCGAAATTCTAGAATCTACTGCAAACAAACCCACATCGGGACTGAGGAGTTGTGATATTTAACACGTTGGGACACAAACGATCGTACGTGCATGGCTTTAATAAATGCTACACATCAAGCACTTCAGTTTATAATGTGCTCTTAGAATCAGCTCGATTGGAAATATCATGGAAGCTGCGGGCCAACGAGTTTGTGTTCATGCCTGAGTCACGAGATCGCAACGGCGGATCCAGGGGTCGGTGACCAACGGGGCCATGCTCACCCCCCCCCCCCCCCCTCTCCAAAACGAACCCATTTTTTTACGTGAAGTCGCAAAAAAAGGCAGCCACTGCGTACACCACCATCTTTTGCTTAAAAAATTAGTAAGAGTGGTCAGAAATTTGCTCAGATCGCACTACAGAGCATCTACAGTCCAAACATATTCCGAACCCTTAAGCGGGCCCCGAATTACACCACGCCGTAAATGTTTGAATCAATTTTTTTTACGAAACCGAAAAAACAACACATTTTGGGGCCCCCCAAAAAAATTGTGTTTTGGATCCGCCCTTGTGTGATTGTGCCGTGTAATTTCTAGAAGTAGTGTTTTCAGATATTTGACCCCAGTAGCCCCATGATGACCCTTTGACCCTTGTATGGTCATGTGACATGTTCGGGCTGGGCTACTGATACTTTTGACAATGTTAGGTTAAAATCGGTCAAAACATGTAGGAGCAATAGACGATGTCCACGTTTGTTACTAATTAACTAACTAACTAACTAACTAACGAACGTACTAACGGAGAGACATGATGATTTGTTGAACTGCTATCCCGCAGCTAAAAAAAAAAAAGATTTTTAGGGAAAAGATTCTTAATCCTAGTTGCTCACCGTGACTAGATTCCAATAGTAGGCCGTCTCTGCCACAGCCTGCGTGGCGGTGGAGCACGCTGGGCCTAGGATCATGATCTTCTGGGGCTCGCGGTACAACTGGTCGAAAAACACTCGGGTTCCCAAGCCGGCCTCGCACTGTCGTATAAAAAGAAACGGGAGTCAAAACAGTAAGCTTAGCGTTAAACGAAACGAGGCAAGCCTAGTAGAGCTGGTCTCAGAGTGCACAACATTATCATTTATTGATTCAGAATGGATATAAAGTTAGTAAAGAATAAGCTGTAGTGGTGACGCGATGGAAAGGAAAAGTTCAATTTCGCCGTTGGCATGGAAACCTGACTTATTGCCTATACATGTATCATGCAAATAATTAAAACAAGAGGTGCCAAACTAATGCAGATAGTGGTGTAGATAATACATCACATACAGGGTGAGTAAAAGAAAGAAAGTGACCGAATTTTGAAAAATATTTTTTTAATATTTCGCTTGCTTTCTTTTCATAAAAAAAGATAGGGATATTAAGTACATCTTATTGACTTGTAACTGTGAAAATTTCACATTATTTGCATATTCTATTCCGAAGTTATATCTATTTCAATAACAAGATCCCAAAACTCGGCTGTCCACCACTGATCATTTACCGTTCTACCAACTGATAAATACCCATTGAGTACACTGAAACATGGACGTTTTCCCACCTCGATGAAAGAACGAGAACTTGCAAAGAAAAAATAATCGCCATCAATATTTCAGAAAAATATTCAAAACCCACAATCTGACAGTAAAAAATAATGTTTCAGTCTTGATTTCAATTATTTGAATCACATCTGTATTTGAATGCTTGTGTGTAATCTGTAATTCTCACTCAGCTCAAAAGCAAGTTCCAATGACATTCCATGGACAGCTATAAAATGGGTTATTTTAGTAAAACATGCATAACTTCTGATGACATGGATCAATCTCAGTAATTCTTTTTTCCCCCTATGTACCCATAAGGGGAACGCTATGGAGTTTGAGATTACAATAGAAACAAGAACAAAAAAAAACAACTGAATCAAAGGTCTTCCCAACAAGGATATGTAAGTAAGGCTGAGTGGTCTAGGCGAGTCGGTGGGATAGATAACCAGTCTAAGCCAGGCATACTGAAATGTGTATCCTTTTGGAGACATTTCTTTGTTCTCGTGTAGTAATGTTTTCGAGTTTAAAAGCGTGGATTCAAAATGCTCTTATTTTAACCAGAATTAATTTCCTTGGCTGAAATTCGGACTAAATATCCCTTTTCTAAAACTCTTCAATTTGCGACGGATCAACCCACCTTGGAAATTCCCTGTTTTTGAGTAAAATCCATATATCTATTTCGAGACGTATTCATCTATAGAAATTGCCCTGTGGAGACTATACAATCTTTGTGTTTCCTATTGTGTGCACGTCTCCAGAGGGCACGGTGTATCAGATCAGTCTAATTCACAAGTGACAGTCATTCAGTGAGTTAAGATAACCATGCAGTCAAGTTCATAAGATTAAGTCAGTCAGTGAGATTGGTATGGCCTACCCAGTTCTGGCGAGGGCCCGGGATATACCTACACGTACGCGGCTCAGAGAAAAAAAAACTCGTTGCATGGTTGTATCACCAAATCAACATAGGCCGACTGTTTTACCCTATGAAAATAACCACGCAAAATTGTGAATTATACAGAAACTCTCTTTTTTTCCGAGCCGCACACGTACGTATCCCGTACCCGCACCATTCCCATGTTGTTACACGTTCCGTATGCAATCAACTTCAATTTGCGGGTATTCATTAACCGACTTCATGGACGACTTTCTTCGATTTCATCGAAAACAACAACTCAGTATTCCTATTGTCTTCATTTTAATTGACCTTTTCTGAATCTGAAAAGAAACATTACAGTATCTGTTATCTTGAAAACATTTCTTCTTCTTTTTATTACCAAACAAGAATCGTTGAATCGAATTTGATATTTTTGGGCTACATGTTGTAATTTGAGATAACCCTCTCCCCACGCCAACCACAACAAAAAAATATACGAAATATAGGATTACAAGGAGCAAACTAAGAGATGATACATGTAAATGGTTTTAACCTTCATTGTATAACTGGGAAAACCACAAGCATTCATGCGTTTCGGTATACAATGCATAATTATGCATTCCAGTCCACCGCACAATGGCCGATGATTAACAGTACATTCTTCAGACACCATTCAGATGATTTTGTCTCCTATAATTATCAGTTTTTTTAACGAAAGAGACTTGACCGTGCATGGTTGGATCCGCTCAAAATTTGTCGTTATTAACTCGTGAAAACTTGTTTTTATTTAATTTGAAAGAATAACAGGCCTATATTTTCGTGAACGTAAGGTTTGCGTTTGTTCATGGGCGTCGCCAGGAGTTTTTCTAGAGGGGAGCAAAACATATTTTTCCAAAATAATTCCTGTATTTCTCAATAATATATTCTCGATGTATCAGTTTTAGATGGGGCAAGGACATTTTGCCAACCCCCCCCCCCCCCCCCACCACCACCACCATCACCACCAATTAAACTTACACCAATATGACTTTCCGCCTCTTTTTCTTTTCTTTGTGCTTTTTTTTTTTTTTTTTTTTTTTTGCTTTTCCGGGGGGGGGGCAACCCTCGCGACGCCCATGCGTTTGTTGTCAGACCACCTCGATGCGGCCACTGACCTTACTCTGCTGAGAATCCGCTTACATTTGCGGGTATCTATTAGCGAAGGTTTTATCGTTGATTTCATTTGAAAGAACAACACTTGAGTTACGTAAAGAAGGCTGGTGTTTGTCACACCAAACCACAAGGCGGTCCCCGTGTTTGTCTCTTCTGATTATCTTTGCACAATTTTCCCATGGATATTTCCAACACAGAGAAAAAAAACATATGTCATCTCTTGAGAAGTACAACCGTTGAAATGCACGTATCAAGGTTACTGGTTTTAGAAGCTACTATCCCAGACATTACTTCGGCAGCACGTGAAAGTTGGCTGTTCTTGGTCCAGTTTCAAAAAAAGTGAAATGCTTCACTGAACGTTGAGAGAATTGTTTGGTTTGGGCTGGATCCGCACCCTCAATACTCGAGCCACGATGGCACGTGACCAAGATGACCGCATCGCATGATACTCCGTGAAATGGCGGGTTACGTGACTTAAAAAGGCAAACGGGATGAAGACGTACTTTCCATGCATGCTATTTTTGAGTTTCACCCCTTACAAAAAAATAGATCGTTGTTAGTAAATTACTCCCGATTTAAAAGTTATCCAATTTTGAACGAGAAAATAAAAGCTTTTTAGAAGGTTGCACACGCCAAATAAAAAAGGAATAGTATTTTCCCCTTTAATTAAAACATTCCAGATAAAAATACGGTAGGTTTGTTGAGGCGTACATCCTTAAGATTGCAAATTATGGAATGGTGTGTTCTCGTTGCCCGCTGTTATTTGCTCGCTGATTGGTCATGTTTTCATGACGTCATATTGTTCAAGTTTGTGATGGTGTTAAAGTTATTTTGGTCTTTAATAGTTGTTTCACATTGTTTTTTATAATCCTTGATTGTTTTTTATTTATAACTTTGATGAGGTAAATATAACGATGTGTAAACAAGGATTGTTTCTTGGGCTATGGGGAAATACTACTAATGAAAGTGAAGGTGACACGTTTAAAACAACAAGTGCGAGTGGACAATAAGTTCCGGCCGTCTTGAATTAAATGATTACAATTACTCACTTGGTCGTGATTGTCAATTGAATTAAAGGATTTTCCATATGATGAACGTAACAATGCAAACTTAGTGACCTTGATAATGCAAATCTGTCCTCCCTCATTGGAGAGTGGAGACCCATTAAAGTGACCGTAGGCCTGAGGCAGGAGTTGGCCAAGGTGATGTATAGTGCACAGTTGTGCATTCCAATACGAACGAAAAACTAACGAAGAAGCCCTTTAAGTTTACAGCGAGCTATTATGCCACGTGACTATAACATTACTGCACATATCTTCTCTCCCTTTATACCAATATTTCATTAACAACTTCACGAATTGCTACAAACAATTTTGGTTAATTATCAATGCATTCGGTTTGCTTTTTGTGAAGATTCAAATTTGATGGTTACATGTGGCACACCGTTAGAGGTTTTGCTTTTGGTCAATTATTTCGGGGACCGACCGACCGACCGACCGACACCCACGTACCAAGTAGAAACTCTGTAGCCAGAGCTTAAACATAATGAATAAATAAAATACTCCCAACTTTGATTTATACATGTTGAAGAAGAATCAGAAAAGTATTACAAATTAATGCTTTACTACAATGGGGGTCCTTGTTGAAAGATTAATAGGCCCAAGCAATTAATCTTTCGACGTGAATAAAATATGAACAGCGCCCCGTCTGATATATGGGTTTTGAAGTGAAGCGGAAATGTGGCAACGGAGAATATTGAAGAGGGAACTCCTTCGGGAGATGATGTTAATTATGTCCCCTTTTTGCTAAACTGAAGTACGTATAACACCTGTTTTGCACAAATGCCGGATATTTTGCCCTCACTGCGAATGGCATCATAAAGGAAGTTGTCTGGTACTTATAGCGATAAGAAAACTGATGCTTGATTGACATGTATAAAAGGTCATCTGCAATGTAACTTCAATGCTTGTTCATTGATACGTGCATGGGGAACATTAATTTTGGAGAACAAGTCTATTTTAACTGAGTTTGCATGACTTATACGGCGTAGGCCTACGCAATTACTTTCCACATGTCGGGCAGGTCGGCCGTAAAATTTGCAACGCAGTAGGCTTAAAGCATGGCTTTTGCTCGGCCTCGGCAGAAATGACCAACACCCAATTATAAATACTTCAATGGCTTTAATTAGAAGATTCTTCATCAATGCAAAGACGGTCTACTCGAAGATGTTAAGTTTATTTCCTCTTTACATGGAATAGACCCCTTGCAATGTGCGTCATCAGTGAAGACAGGTGTTTGCTCATCTTTTTTGTTTATTGTCTTGAGACGCGTCTTTGGAAATGACCTTCTTTTATTGTTTTTTTTTTTTACAATGACAGCATTCAAGAAAGAATAATTTCACAGGGATTTTAGTGTCATTACTATCTCCAAAGCA